ATGGTTCCTGAGATAGTGAGGTTGGATCTGTGTAAATTTTGACAAGAACTCTAAAATGGAAAACTAAGTTAACTCTTAGACTGATTGCATACTACTGCAAACTGTTAGATCGCAAATGTCAACAACCATTTCAGTTTGTCCATGTTGTTGGATATTTTATTTTCCAACACATGTCAAATATATTAACAAGTAACTGACTAACCCGCAAGCTCAAATTCCACAACCCACACAAACTCATCTAGCTTAAAAAGAATATTTAGCTAAGAAACAGAAAACAACAGCAATTAATAATACAATGAAAGCAAACATTACCTTTGTATAAACCAATCTAGACGATGAATCGCGAGTTTCTCTGCTGAGCAAAATAATGAGCAGCAATACGGCCAATCCACACAAAGTTAACCAAAAAACATTGGAGAATCGCCGTCGCACCGGCCGCCGGAAATCCGAGTTCCTCCGTCTCATTTTCCGGCGACTACTGAATACAAATAATTTCGAGTAAATCTGCGGTACAGTGGCTTTAGTAACAGTATATTTTGGCACCAAAAAAAAAAGATGAGAGTGGGAAATCGAAGAATTAGGGTGAAATTGAAGATTTGGGTTTTATTGAAGCGAGTTTTTTTCGGAGTTATGAGTGGGACAGTAATGGAGATTGATATTCAGATCTACAACAGGGCAGAATGCTGCATGTAAAACTTTTCTTGAGGACCAGGGAAAATAACTGTGAAATTTGATTGTGTTAAATTGCTTTTTGCACCCCTTGAATATGCCCTCTCTCGAGATTTATATTTTATTTTATTTTATTTATTAATAAAATAATTTACATTCTAACCTTACCAGTAGTATTTTTTCTAAAATATAATAAAGTCATTTTTATTAGAATTTTTAGGAAGGTAAAATTGAAAAAATACAAATATGAATAGAACTTAAACACAACCTCTGATAATTTTTCATTTTATTGTCTTAAAATTTGTTTTAGATTTTATAGAGATTTAATTAAGTTTATACACTCTCTTAATTTTCTCCTAACTATTAAATTTATAACTTTTGAGAGCGTTTGGACATGTGATTCATATTGTGATATGAAATCATAAGATGAAATCAGTGTTTGGACATGCAATTTTACGTTGATTTCATATCATCATATGAAAATTCCAAATTCTTTAAAAATTAAGATTTGAAAATTTTAAATCATGATTTGAGATTTTTTTTCAAGTATTAAAGTTGACCCACAAGTTTATATCTTATAAAAAAACTCACATTTAATTTATATATAACCCATCAGTGCCCCATTAAAGTTGGTACGATGTCTCACTTAGACACCTCAATTGAGCGATGTTCATTTTAGATACCTAATATAAGTTTTTGATGTGTCATTTTGACATTTTTTTTAATTTCAGCAAAAATATATAATGTGTGTTACACACGCTAATGGCGTGTAAAGTGACAAATTATACGACGACATTTGTCATTTGTGTGTCAAAAGTAATTTTTAAATAAATAATTTTAAAATAAAAATTGACCAATGAATTAATGACATATGATGCAATATAAAGTGTCTAAAATGAACATCGTCAACTTTAGGGGACCATCGATGGGTTAAGCCTAAATAAAATTTACAATTCATAGCATTAAAACCATTTATATCTCATATAACGATTATTCTTGCCAATATCAAATTTATTTCTACTTCAGTTAAATTCTTAATTTACTATTTATATTAATCAAATTCATTATTTTTTATTAAATTTATTACTATTTCATTAAAATCAATGTTTAATGAAAAAAAACATGATTATATTGAGTGGACAAGACTAATTGTTGTACCATTAATTGAAAAAAAAAAAAAATTTCATTAGCTATTAACAATTTGAACATTACAACTGATGTTCAGTTAAATTTTTTTTATTGAATTAAGGTTTGATTAATAAATGTTGTAATTCTTAGAATAATTTTATGATAGTGTGTTACGCGATTTTAATTTTTTTTTCCACTTAATTGGTAAGATTGTATAATGAATTGAGACAATGTTAATAGTTTAATAACTTATGAGTTTTTATATTTATGAAAAAATATACAATATGAAAAGTTTAAATTGTATGTCCAAACAAAACTTTAACTTTATCTCATGATTTCATATTACGAATGATTTCACATCACATGATGAAACAGCCCCTTAAGAATTTGATTATATACTAAAAACAATGCAATAATGTAGGTTTGAGATTGTTGCTCAATTTATTATAACTGACATGCATTCGGACTATCTAAAGTAGTATCATGAATATTGAATGATAAAAATATCTACGTGATTTTTTTTAATTTTATCTGACCTTTTGTCAGTAGGAGTTTCACGACATTGTTAGAAAACACACTAATATTCTTCTTAAGATGAACACTTTATCAAGGACTTGTACTTATGTATTGGATATTGTATAATGCTCTTAAAAATTGCTACTAAGCCATTATCTTGAATTATTTGAATCAGACTCATTGTTGATGTGACGTCAATCGTATGTTTTAAAAATCTGATTGTGTACATGAAAATTGATTTATATGTTATACTAAAGAGATTGTTTTTTTTCAAAACAATACTAATGTCAACAAAAACTACATTAGTCATGACAAACAATAATTTATTTTTTAAAATTTTAGAATACCCCATGCATATAGTAGGAGTATAATAGTTTTGACTCTTGATAACATTTTAACACGTTGAGTTATATTTTTTTGTGCAACAAAAACGATCTAGCAATCTCAGGTAACTTAAAATTAACTGCTTATTGTAAATAAATATTAAAGATCAATATTATAACTTTTGGATATGATAAATTCAACCACATATCCTTTAGATCTGGTCTCACCAAGCATATTGTATGTTGCACCACTATCACCTTTATCTTAACTTTATTTTTAAAAAAAAAGGACTTAGAGTCTACAAAATACTGTTGTTTGTAACTATTTTTGTTATTGTGACCTTTGCACCTACAAAACTCATAAATCACATGATATTTTTTCTTGGATTATTGAGTGTTGTTTCTGAAATACATGATTGCATCAATGTTTTTTAATCTCAAAATCTAAATTAGCATAAAAAACTCCATTTGCAGATTTATAAATAATCATGTTCTCCAATTTATAAAAGAGAAATTATATCATATGCGCCTAATTCTTTTTGCTCTGCTTAATTTATGTCAATTTTCATATTTTTTCTTTCTACCCCTAATTTGAGGGAACTATAAAAACTAATATTACACAAAGATTTGAATCTAAAATCTTCCACACACAATTTGAAGCTTCAATTACAAAGCTAATTTTACAGCCTTTAAATGACAAAAGGTGAAAAAGAAACATGAGGCTAAAAACTTTTCTTGATGAACTTGGTAATTGCCACAGAAGCAGACATGACCATAAAACGCACAGATTACTAACAGTAGTTTCTTAAATAAAGTGATATCATTAAGTTAATTATTTAGTAAATTATCTTTTATCTTTTTAATACATATATTCACTTATTAATTTACACAATTTAACTATATATGATAAGTTTAAGGCGAAATTATCTGATAGATCCTTGTAATTGTATGCAATTATATTCTGAACCATTCTACTTGACCATTTGTCAATTGAACCCTTCTCGTTTGGTGTGAGGAATTAAAAATAATAGTGATGAGATAAGGAAATAGTGATGGGATAATTTTTTTTTATCTTCTTTGGTTGCCATGTTTGGGATAACTTATCCCACCATTTATATCATAGTGATGGGATAAGTTATCCCATATACATGGTGGGATAAGTTATTCTGGTATAACTTGTTCCCAACCAAACGACCAGTGAAACAAATCATTTTAAACCCTTTTCACTGTGTGTGAACTTCGAACACTTCACAAAAATGACATATCATCATCCACATCACATTTTAAATGATATATCACTTATTATTATTTTTAATTTTTTTTCTTTCTTTTCACCTCTCTCCATTTGTTTTTTACATTAGAGATACCACCACAACCTTCTATTCTCACTAATATCATTACATTCCTAAATAACTAACAATTATCATTCAACTTTTTTTGAAATTTCTTTCATTCACAATTTTTAATCGTATTTCTTTTACCAACATTTATATCTACCACTTGAACAATCATAAATCTCTTTTGCTCATTGATGTTAACAAATAGCCATTAAAATACATCAATATACTCTAATATTTGTACACAATTTTACATAACACATTTCACCTAATTTCACAACGACATTCAACAATCACTTTTGAAATACTGTTGAATCTTTATCACATTATGGGTTATAAATTATGCCAAAAAAAATAAAATACAGATCTATAACAACAATATAATTTCGTTTCTAATCCTGAGAGGAGAAAATGTGAAAAAAAGAAAAAGAAAGAGAAACAAGAAAAGAAAAGGGCTGGAAAGGGGAGAAAGAAGAGAAATGGGGGTTTGAAAGCAGAAAGAAAAAAAAGAAATGGGGAGGGGTGAGGCAGGAAAAGAAAAAAAAACTAAAAATAAGTAATTTTTTTTATTTTTTGATCTTTTTGTTCTATTTTTAAAAAGGTTTTTTTTTTTTAGTCAATAATTAAGTTGTCACATAAGCTTGGTCAAATGTCAGAAGGACTTAAAACATAGAGTTTCGTTGAGTTTAAGGGTTCAATTGACAAATAGTCAAGTAGAAGGGTCCAAAATACACGCATACGAGTTGAAAGATCCATCATACCATTTCGCCTAAATTTAATAAATATCATGCTAATTTCTCTAGCTTTTAACTGTATCTGTGGTGCAGAATCCAATTCCTAAACTTATCACAAGCTTTTTTTTTTTTCGTTAATAGGCAGAAAAGGAAAGTAAAACGGAGAAAAGCAGTTAGGATTAGGGGCAAAAATGGTAACACGAAAAATATTCGAAAGGTAATTCGATTCCAAAAATTAAAAAAAGAAGGATCATCTAACAATCTGATCCTTTTTTTCGCACATATGAAAAAGTAAAAACCGAATGCGGCGACCGCGATGAACGTTGACAAGGAACAATCCGATCGCAACCTTCCAGAACTTTCTCCACCGTCCATGGAGAAACCTGCACCGGAACCGTCACAGCAACCACCGAGAGAGTCCACTGCTCCGACGCCGTCCCTGCCGCAGTTTAAACAGCCGCCGTCCCTGCCGCAGATTAAACAGCCGCCGTCCCTGACGCAGGTGAAACAAACGCCGTCTATTGATCCCAGTGCGCTCTTTAGCGGCGGCGGTATTAGGTAACTGCATTATTGGTCTCTTGCTTAATTTTATTGTTTTCTGCTGAATTTATTAACTGTTAGTTGTTACCAATGTTTATGATTCGAGAAATGATCAGTTTGATTTGATTCTTTCTTCTAGCATTAGAAATGAGAATGACAGTCCGCAGTTGCTATTTCTACTTGAAATCATGGTCTAATAAAAGGTTTTCTTACAATTTTTTCCCAAAGTAGTCTTTGTTTTACAAAGATGGGTAGTATTTACAAACGTGTAATATGAGCATATAAAAGAGGCATCCCAAAAATCTTGCACAATTTGCTAGAATTAAAGAGAGCACTAAGCAATGGTCTCTGTACCCTCCAGGAATGAGGAAACCCCAAAACTGCAAAAGGAGACCTCATCCTAATCTTCTTTTTCTTCACATTCACTTTGTTCAACCTCTAGCTTTCTGTTGTTCCTGGCTTCCTGCAACTTTTTTGGGAAGTACCTATTGGTTGTTGAAAGTTACAAAATTCAAAGACCACTGTTCCAAAGATGCAGCAAGAGATGATTCACATCCTCCCCATGTTTGATACACATACAACTCCAATTCGTGATGATGCATGTTCCTGATAAAAAATATTTTTGATGATGCATCTACTCATAAATTATCTACCATTAAGAGAGGCTCCCAATGTAGCACAACATGTGACGGATATCTCTTCTTTTGGCGCATTCGATAAGAGATTTCCACACGAGATTATGATTTCCTAACTAAACAAGTGGTAACAAGATGTAACAGAGATGTACTTCAATTACGAGCCTTTTCCATATCAAAGTAACTCCATATCACATAATCTCATTAGGATCAATTCTTCTGATTGGTCGCCATTCAGCCTTAAAACCGCAGCTACTGTGATCTTCATGCGCTTATCAAATGTGAATGAGCTGGGAACTTTTTTTTTTTTGGCTAATGATGGTTGTGTCCGGGCCAACTTGTTGGGAAATGTGAATTAGTTGGTGAATTTACATTTAAAGGTATTATTACCACACCATACATGATCCAGAAATATGTTCTATATCCCAATGGCGTACACAAGATTTTTGTGAGGGGTATCACTTTTTAAAATGAAAAACAATAAATAAAATAATGTGACGTCATACTTTTTTGAAAAAAAAAAAGAAGAACAAAATATGAATAAAATACAATTCGGGCTCACTACTATACATTTTCTAAAAAGAAGTACTTTAAAAAATTATAAAAAAAATTCACGAGTTTTTTTATTTTGAAATGTATTCAAAATAACTTTTTAAAATTAATAATATTAAATGTTTCATAAATTGTTTTTAATTAATTTTATTGCTTAGAAAGAAGGTGAAAGAAAAAAAACCCATAAAAGATAAGCCTATAAGAAGGGTGAAAGAAGAACTTCAAATGTATAAAAAAAATGACAAACACACGACCTATACCTTAGAACTAAGGTGCCTGACCAGCCAAGCTAAGTGTATGTTTGTGTCAAGGAGTGTCATTGTATATAACATATTCGGTCTTTCTCCTTTTTCCTTTAAATATGTATGTATATTTACTAAATTTTTCCGACGAAGCAATGTCACGTGACACCCTTTGGACTTACGTAGATCCGCCCCTGCTATATCCCTTCAAACCTAAGAACCAATGAACTCAAAAGAGTCTTTTTTTGGGCTAATGGTGGTAGTTTTCGGGCCAACTTGTTGGAAAATGTGAATTAGTTGGTGAATTTACATTTCAAGCTTTATCACACACCACACACAACAAGAAATATGTTCTATCCCCCTTCAAACCTAGCAACCAATGCACTCAAAAGAGTTTTATCTTATTTCATTTCATTATCCCTCTCCACAAACTCATTCTATAAGGGCCTTTTCAGTGAATCAACCATAATGACAAACTGATGCCATATTTCAGCAGAATCACCTTCCTGCACGTGACCTGTTCTTCTACTGAAAATCTCCATATATGCCCAACAATGTCTAATGAAGAGTTTCCAACCTTGGGATGGCTAATCTCACAATCTTCATGACATCTTTTTGTACTGTTTCAAAATATAATTCCACTGTTTAGTTTTATAATCTTGTGCTAATCGATGCTGAAGTGAACAAGGACCAAATAAAGTAGGATGCTTAAAATGGCAGCATATAGAAAATGGATCAATGGCTTCATGGAAGGGTTTAGAGGCTCTTCTAATATTACAGTCTCACACATTATATGAAGACCCTTGCAGGGGCGGAGCCAGTGTAGGACGATGTTGGCAAATGATTGTTGAATATAGTTACTCACCTCGCAACCTAATTTCCTCTATGGGCTTGGCGGGACCCAGTAACTTTGGCATCAAACCATTTATGTGTTGAAATTTCATTTAATATGTACAAACAATCTATTGAGAACCTAGTAAGCAAAAAGAAATTGTTACCGTACTTATAAGCTAAAAATCCTGGCTCTGCCTCTGGTCATCCTTGTTCTATGTGATGCTTATGTTTCTCAACACATCCAGATGGTATGAAAACTGCAAAATATACTCTACTGTGGGGTACCTTGTGTAGCTTAAGAGTTGGTCACTGGGTGGGTTAAGTCTTGAATTTCAGCCTGGTTGCTGTTTTTGGTTGTGGATATTTACATCCATATTTAAACTGATAAATGCATTTCTTTTGTTCAGATCTTTTTATTTTTAATACGACTGTATCTTCATAGTGGGGAGAAATAATTAATGTAATCCTATTCATTTCTAAAGATATGTTTGGGGATGAATTTTTATAAGAAACCAACTGATTTTTTTTTCTTTTGTTGAAGCTTTCTGACTGGAAACAAAAATGCTAAATTCAGCTATGGATATGCTACTTTTAAGGGGAAACGGGCCTCCATGGAGGACTACTATGAGACAAGCATATCAGAAGTTGATGGTCAAATGGTGGCATTTTTTGGTGTTTTTGATGGTATTTCCTAGCGTTTCTTGCATATCTTGTCAGGATGACGTTTTTTTTGGTAATTAAAGTATTACTACCAACTCGGAAAATTACAGCTCAAACAAAAAAAAGAAAAGATTCAAGATTGGACATGCATGCCCCAATCTTTTGCTAAGCTACTTCTCATCACCAACTCAGTACTTAGTACTATTCATTGCTTATACATCAAGGGTAGTAGTTTAGATCTTGCAATATCCTAGGTACTATGGAAGACTTCTGGACAATCTGTCTAACTGTTGCTGCTGTTATTCTTCTTTTATTCTGAAACACCCCGTGATTCCTTTCTTTCCATACATAGTATACTGCTGCAGCCAATTTTGTCTTAAAGATTTCTGCTTGGCTACTCTGTCCTTTATAATATTTTACAGCCACCTTATCTCCTCTTGCCATCCATAATATCTCTTTGCATTTTTTGCCAACGTAACAATTTTAACCATATACTAGAAGTTTCAGGACATTGGAAGAGCAAGTGATGGATACTTTCACCTTCATTACATAGGGGACATTGGAGGCTAACATTTATTTCCCACTTTACAAGTCTGTCTTTAGTAGCCAGCCCTCCAGTATTGCCAGTCTTAGTATAAGTATCCATTTTGGAGAACCTCAGTTGTTACATACCAATCTTGCCCAGTCTACTTCTCGGAAGGTGCCTTGTAAATTTCTGTATATTGCTTGAATAGATATGCTATCCATTTGCATGAGTTCAGTCAATGTGCAACTTTCCCCCTAAATGTTAATAAAATTATTTACCATATCAAAAAAAATTATATTTTGTGGATTTGAGTATCTTCCTAGTCATCCATGCAGCCTGTTTTAATTCAATTTGCCAAATAGTTCTCACTTTTCCATAGTAGATGTGCATCCATTTTACCCCTAGGTTGTCCTTCCTTTTGCAAATATTGCATAGGAGTTTACATATTGCAGCTCTATTCCAGATCATGATGTTGATAATGTTCAAGTCTCCAGCTGATTGAGGTTGACAGAGATTTTCCCATGCCACTGGTGGCTTCATAGAAATTTAGCTTTTCCAGTTTTCAGATATCTTTTACATATGTTCTCTATCTTCTTAGGGAGTATAAACATTTGTGCCCAGAATGATCATTGATAAAATGACACTCTTAATGAGCTGAGCTCTTCCAACATATGATAGGAACTTAGAAGGATGGGCATTTTCTACTTTCAGAGTGTTATTCTTGTTTAAATATCATTTTAGTTCTTGTAGATACGAAATTTACTCACGAAGAGACTTTTTTTTTTGGTGCTCATGAATTGACTTTCTTTGCAATCTGGAGGATTGTTTATCCCTTATACTCTGCTTGGTGTTAGGTCATGGTGGTTCAAGAACAGCAGAATACTTAAAGAACAACCTCTTTAAAAATTTGAGTAGTCATCCCGATTTTATCAAAGATACGAAGTCAGCTATAGGTATGAACAAAAGCAGACCTCTTTGTAATTTCTAGTTTCATTGTATCTTCTCTCTTCTGTATCATTTAATTGGAAAAGCTCTTGAGTGCAGTTGAATCATTTAAACAGACTGATGCCGATTACCTTAATGAAGAAAAAGGCCAGCAAAAAGATGCCGGTTCAACAGCGTCAACTGCTGTTCTTTTAGGTGATAAATTGCTTGTCGCAAATGTGGGGGACTCTAGAGTCGTGGCTTGTAGAGATGGTTCAGGTTTGTTGCTTGTTGACTATTTACTATATCCAAAGTTTTCACAAACACGACTTTGGTCTATCTCAAGGTCCATTAGTTTTTTTGTGGATTATCTTTGTTATAGGTAAACAAACTTTTTATAAGGGAAGTACATCAGAAAAAGTGGGTAAAGGCGTAAAGCTCACAGGGACAGAGGGAGTGTTTCATTAGGTTTAGTCTGAATAGTTTACATCGGATATATGTGAGACGTATTCTTTGGTCTGTACGAAATTGTGATTCTGGAACTACTTTTTGTAATTTCTAGAACTTTCCACATTCTCATATCAATGGAAGTTCACCAATCTAGTAAAAACGTGTAAAAAGGTATATATACCTGAACAAACAAAATAAGAAATAACAGAGCTCATTTCAAACCTTCCAAGCAATTAAGAACCTCAAACAAATTCAGACACTTAAAACAACTTTGTTACTCAATGCTAGCTTATCACAATTTATGTTAAGCATTCTTACAATCATAGTAATCACTACCGTAAATTTGTCTGGCTAGCTGCTTCCGCTATGCGTTGTAAATGAACTGATCATTAGGATCACATTGATCAGCTGTCTATATCATGTATTGTTTATATCCTTTACTCTGATTGTTTGTGGAATGATTTATTCAATAATTTGGAAAGCTTATTATGTTGTCTTTTGTTTTGCTTTGGCCATAGCCAGGCAGAACAAATTTCCCCTTGGAAGATGTTAACTTTGAGACTTTTGCAACAAAGGAATGTGACTTATAATTTAAAATTTTTTACCGACGAAGCATGTTTTTGTATTGACTGACCTTAATCATATTTGTCTCCAAGGTCATTTGTCAATGTTAAAATTTTATTACAGTCTTTTATTTGTAGGTTCTCACAAGAGCTCTAACAATATTAATCTGTGAAAACTGAAAAGCTTGCCCTGTTTTTCATTCGGAATAAGATAATGAAGGGATCTGCGGGGTGTTTTATAATTTTTGTATATGGGTTAATCTTATGAATATATACGTTCTTTACTCATTTAAAAGAAAAAGAAGACTAGAAATGATAGGATGTTTCTTATGTATACTATCTAATAAAGTCTTACCGTTGGCAGCCTTTACCATTTAGTGTTTGGGCTTTCCATCCCCCTATTATCCCTTTAACAACAACAACATCCCCAGTGAAATATCACAAGTGAGGTCTTGGGAGGGTAGAATGTACGCAGACCTTACAACTACCTTGTGGAGGTAGAGAGGTTGTTTCCGACATATTATCCTTTTAAAACCTTCCATATTTATGGAGTGGATCTATGACAAATCACATGGTTTGATGTAAACACCGGGTGGGGTTATGTTTTTTTTGATGAAGTAACACCAGGTATGGGTAAGTTATCGGTATGATATTCCGTAAGAAGAGAGACAACTTCTTAGGAAAGCATAATTAAGAATATAGATTGGGAAAAGGTCCAAATATACCCATGAATTATACTATTTGGAGCAAATTTATCCTCCCTTAAAAAATGGCCTATATCTACCCCTATCGTTACACAAATGACTCATATATATCCTGTTCGATAGATGGAGCTCAAATACCCGATATTGAAATATTTTTCCTAGTGTCTTCGTTATAAGTAAAGCCATGTGTAAAAAATTAAATCACAATTAGATAGTAGTTGTTAAATTAAAGATAAAAGTCCATCCATCCTAGTTTGTTTTGGCCCTTTTCGCTTATTGAGGATTAATTTGATCAATTTTGGTGTTAATATTAAGATTAATTCATTCTTCTTAAGATATTGGGCACTTACATGAAAAGTAGTGAAGAACTACAAGTTGCAACACCGCAATACGACAGAACACATTTTACATATTAGTCAAAGCTCACCTAATTTCATCCTTGGAAAGTTAATGGTGAAATAATTTGGGACATTTAAGGGAAGTTCCTATCTTTCACCTCATGAATTGAGAAGGAAATGTACTTTATAATTCATTTTTGTACCGACCAAAAAGGAAATGGGTTATTCCATTTGAAAAGGAGGAGGTATTTATGATTAAATTAGATTTGCAAATTAAGAAGAAATCATTATGTAATTTAGGAGTTTTTTAAGATGAAGTAGGAATATTATTAACAAAAGAGCATTAACTAGCTCGTATACAAAAAGTAGAAAATCTTACAAAAAATATATGATTTTCTATGAATGACACCCAATCATCTACACAAAAAGCAACCTCACAGGTGCACCAAAGAGAAATAAGGGAAACGAGGCTAGTTCTCAAGGGTAGAATTTTTCTCTATTCCATCAAAAGCTCTCCTATTCCCCTCTCTCCATATGGTTCACATCTGTGCAAAAGGTGTAACTTCACATGCCCTGCATCTAGGGGTGTGCATCAATCAGTTTAGTTTGGTTTTACATATTATTGATTCGATTTTCGATTTTTAAATATGCTAAACCAATAACCAAACCAATAAAATATTTTTATCGATTTTCGGTTTATCGGTTTTGGTCTTTAACGGTTTGGTTTTCGGTTTAACCAATAAGAAAATGCTTATAAAGCAACTATATGATTTTCCAACAATTTGACGCGACAAGACAATAATTATAACTTTACAAATGGTCGTAAAAAAATAATAACTAAGGTGAAAAGAACTATACTAGTGTAATACAAAGAGAAATTAAGAAATAAGATTCTTACTTTAGGTTTTGACGTTTTGAATAATGTGAAGTTGTGACCTCAAAGTCACTGTGAAGTGTGAATTTAAGGCTAAAAGACAAAGACAGTATCTAGTAAGGTATTGAGATTAATATTTAATGTTTATATACGGGTAAAGTAGTAAATTACTAGTCTTAATGGGTTATCGATTTACCCAATAACCCAATATTGAAAATCAAAATCTACCGATAACTCAATAATATTTTTGTATAAAATCATTAACCCAATAATCCAATAGCAATACACCAATAATACTTTTTTCGATTCGATTTATCAGTCGGTTCGGTTTTTGCACACCCCTACCCTCCTCCGCCTTTCTATGAGCCTAGCTAAACATTGTTTCAAGTAAAGTAGTAAACTACTGCAATCTTAATGAGTTATCGATTTACCCAATAACCCAATATTGAAAACCAAAACCGAACAGATAATCCAAAAATATTTTTTTATAAAACCATTAAAAACCCGTTAACCCAATAGCAATAGACCAATAACACTTTTTCGGTTCGATTTATCGGTCAGCTTGGTTTTTGCACACTCCTACCTGCATCTCCTCCTCTGCCTTTCTATGACCCTATCTAAACATTGTTTCTTTCATAGTTCTCGACATTACCCACTCAAAACCAAACCGTTTAATCAACTCCCCCCATAACAAAGATGCTACCCGACAATGTAAGAATAGGTGATCTATGTCTTCCCGCGATTCTTTGCAATCTAGGAGTTAATTAAGAAAATTTAGTGGTATTACTATCCATGAAGAAAACAAGTGAAACTAAAAGATTACATTTATAATTCAACAACATACGCGGTGAGATTCCACAAGTCGGGTCTGGGGAGGGTGGTGGGTGTATACATACCTTACTCCTACCTTTGTGGAGTAGAAGAGGCTGTTTCAATAGACCCTCGACTTAGGAAAAAAAAGAATCGTTTTTCCAAAACAGTTTTGAAGAAAAAACAAATGCAAGAGTAAATAAGCTATGATAAAAATATCACTGAGAGTTTAAGTTATAATTCCTTTAATGATAATAGAATTAAGTAACCACCTTATTGTGTAAATCTTCCCAGAGAGAAACTTAAATGGAAAGATTTAAAAGTCAAACTAAATTATTGACCTAACATAGTGGATAAATAAAGAAAAATATTTCCTCATTGATGGAAATTTAACAAAATTAACTATCCGTCCATCCCATTGTATGTGGCACCCTTTCCTTTTTAGTCCGTCCCAAAAAGAATGTCACCATACTATTTACAGCCACACAAATATTAAGGATTGTTTGACAATAAGTTTTAAAAGTCTTCCTTTTTTTCTTAAATACTGTACCAAATCAAATAGTGTCACATAAAATGGGATGGAGGGAGTAAAACGTATATTCGTTTTTATAATTAAATATCATTTCTGAATAACCACCACATAATAAAGAAATTTAAGGGACCTATCCATTTTCTTATCTCTTATAAGAGATTTAGCTACTTCAGTTTTTGAATTGAAACACTAAAGGAAGTGAAATAACAAGACAAATCCATTGAATGAATAAATTAAAAGTAAAACACTCCTAACCCAACTTGTATGGAGCACTTATAATTGAAGAAGTTAAACAACTTCTTTCTTAACCAAGTTCTTCTTTGAAAATATCTATAAATATTTTTTATTTTTTAAATTTGGTTTTGATTGTACATTTAAAAATTAACCAGAAAGTAGGTATGACGTTATATATCTTGGGACTGTTGAAAACTTGGAATAACTCTTGTTTTTTAAACTGTTAATATGATGGTTGGAATAACTTTCAGCAATTCTAAAGTCCACCTTATCCATTTACTTTTGTATTCATTGTCTTACAAGAAAAAGTAATCTTCATTCTCTGCTTTATTGTGTCCGATTTACATGCGTTACAAACTGTGTTTGCTAAATGTTTGTACAAATGGAAAGCAGGAAAACTATCATTCTCATTGAACTTGCCACGTGAGCTTTATTCCTAGTATAACACCTAAATCTTGATAAATTAGGTGGTGGAAGTCTATTTTCTTCTCAAATTTCAACATGTCTAAACTTAATTATTTATTTCTCAGATTTCTAGATCAAATTTAGGAAGTGATTCATCAAATTGAATGATTATTGGGCATATTTTAGATTTTTAAAAGATGTTATTCATTTTAAGCTATTTGGTTGTGAGATATAACTGTTGCAATTAATGCAGCTATTCCTTTGTCCATCGATCACAAGCCTGACAGATCTGATGAGCGTGAAAGGATAGAACAGGCCGGTGGTTTCATTATCTGGGCAGGTAAAAGCCTGTTGCAATTTCTTTATATGTATCAATTGCTGCTTGATTGGCCCAATTAATGCTACCGGAGTCCCAAAGAATCGTATTGTTCCAGTGTTCTTCTATAAATTTAATAAATAATTTATCTTAGTTTTCCTATCAGGTGCTATACATATTTATTTTGTGTATAATTTTCACTAGGCCCAAGAAGTTTTTTAAAGAATCTTCCAGAATCACATTAAATAGGTATTTCAACCTTCATCATATGTGAATATTATGAGACTTAACAAAAGTTTGCTTTTCTGCCATTGTGAACATAACCTCAATCTAGGGCTAAAGGTTAGCGAGGTTACACTTAGGTATTTATGATATGCTTTGATTGCAATCTGGTGGTTGAATAAACTCTATCATTCTTGTTATGAAATTATTGGCTCTTCCAGTAAGATCATGCACAGATTGCATCTGAAGCTCATGAAGTGACAATAGGTTTTCCATGTTTCTTCATGAAGTATTGTTGAACTTTCAGGGTGTGATGTGATTTGATGTGTAAGATAACCTAGTCCTTTCAACACCCAATCTTCTAATCCATCCCTTCCTGGGCTAGGAAAATTTATTATTAGTAGATTATGCAAATATGTAGTTAAATATTAGTTATTTATACTAATGTAGAATCATTTCATTAAGTGGAAAAAGGGTACCAACTTGATTTATGTGTTAGTTTTAGATGTATTTTTCTATCTTGTGGAGCTAAAAAGCTTTTGGTGCTTGTTTGGGCTGTAGTTTGGTATGTGCTTATGTTGATTGGAGATATAATGCTGCTGTTTTGATCATGGAGCAACGTGAGTTTTTCAGTGTATGGAATATAATTGATAAAGATGTTTATTGCAGTATACTTCACGTGGTTTCTTTTCTTGTCAGTGCCTTGTATGAGCAATACTACATATTCGTGCTTGCATGCCTTTGGTGTTTCTTACTGAAAGTTATTACCGTTCAACAAGACAAAAATATGCATGCACAATTTCTTAATTCCTCTTTTCCCTGTTAGTTGAATTCAGTACAATGTCCTGCTGCTCTATTCTTCAGGTACATGGCGTGTAGGTGGGGTCCTTGCTGTTTCTCGTGCATTTGGAGATAAAATGCTAAAGCCATATGTTGTGGCAGACCCAGAGATTCAGGTATCTTGGCTTTGTTTCTTGAAGCAATAGTTTGTCTTCATTTGCTGCTCTAATTGCCTGATCTGTCAAGGCACAAGAGCATGGTGTTAATCTGGACGTATGGTTCTCCGCTGTCCCCTTGTGATATATTACTGGAAAAGGCAGTTTTAAATTTTAAAGAAACCTATGGTGTTTTTTTAGCTTCTTTAACACAACAATAACAACAACAACAACAAATACCCAGTGAAATTTCACAAGTGGTGGTCTGGGGAGTGTGGTGTGTATGCAATGTTACCCACCTTGTGAAGGTAGAGAGTCTGTGTTCGATAGACCCTTGACGTAAAACATATAAAAATAGGTAAGAGATAATACAGTAAAGAAGAGTAAAAAAGAAGCCATGTTAAAATAATGGGGAAAAGAACAGTAGTAATAACAAATAATGCAACAATCGAAGTAAAGGAAACAACAAGTAACAATAAAATTGAAGAAACCCTTCGAGGTGACCCAGAGGTTTGGGCTTAGGACTTCCATGTTGGAAGTCTCAAGTTCGAAACCCCTTGCCAATGAAAGCAAGGGGTTTGCCTTCTGGGTCAAGCTTGTCGCACTGTGGCTTGTCAAGTGCGGGTTACCTCTCCTGTGTGGTTTGCGAGCTATTGCACAGGAGCAGGTGTTTTGCCCTGTGCACCCAAAGGGTAGCGGCTGCGTGTTTCTCTTGTCATAAAAATAAATAATAAAATTGAAGATAAGAAAGTAGGAGAAAAATACTGATAATACTAATAAGGGAAGTAAACTACGCACGATTACCTACTTACTTTCTACCTTAATCTTTGACCTTCCTATCTAGATTCATGTCCTCGGTAAGCTGAGGGTAGTGTTTAGGAAAGCGAGCGCTTCATCGCTTTAAGTGGTGAACCGAAACGAAGCGAAGCGAGGGTGCTGAAGCGAGGCATGTGAAAAGAAGTATCTGCTTCTGGGCTTGAAGCGCGATGCGACTAGAAGCGGCAACTCGAGAAAAACAACGCTTTTTTTTTTTAACTTAATTATTGATCAATTTTAAAAAATAAAAAGAGGCGCGACTTACCTTGTCATTGAGAAATTAGAATAGTAAGGTTTCAGTGTACTCTTTCCTTCCAGTACCTTTTCTCTTTTCTTTCTTTACCCTGTTTAGCTTTGATTATTTAAATTATAGGTTGCTAATTTTTTTCCTCACACTCATCAAAATATATGTTGCTGAATTGTTTTGTTTCTTAACAATGTCTAAAATGTTGTTGAGTTTTTTCTTAATAGTGATAAAAATATATTGCTGATTTTTTTCTTAAATCTTATCTGCCGTTAAAAATGGCTGTCCCGACATGAAAATATGGTAAAGGAAGTTAGTAAAACCAATAAGACAACAATTGTATGTCAGTATGTCTATTTTGTGACAAGACAACTATAGGGGAACCTTTTTCTAGTTTTTAATATGAATTTTTGCTTATATATTTTGTCTTTATTTGTTTTGGTCTTTTTTCTTTTAAATTGTGCTTCACTTCAATGAAGCGAGCGCTTCGCTTCACACTTCGCTTAAAGCGTGAAGCGAGACCTTACCGCTTTTTACCACTTCGCACTCCCCTAAACACTAGCTGCTGGTGTATCATGTCCTGTCTGATCACCTCTCTCCATTCATTCTTCGGTCTACCTCTCCTTAGTCCCACCAAGTCAACCTGTTGCACCTTCTCACTAGAGCATATGTGCATCTCCTTTTCACGTTTGAATCATCTCAACCTTGCTTCCTTCATCTTATCCGCCACGGATGACACTTTCACCTCGTCCGGAATATTCTTGTTCCTGATCCTATCTCTCTTGATATGCCTACACATCCATCTCTCAACATCCTCATTTCCACTGCTTGCATCTTTTGGACGTGCGTGTTCTGGATCGACTAACACTCCGCTCCATACAATATAGCTGGTATAACAACCTCGTTATAAATTTATCACACAAGACACCAGAAGGCAGAAGCAGGCCTTCATTTCATCCACCCACTCCAATACAATGTGTAACATCCTCGTTGATATCATGATTTTCTTGGATTATAGACCCAAGAAACTCTCTTAGGAATGACCTGGGTACGCTCTGTTGGGAGTTACGTCACTGAACTTGCACTGTAAGTACTCTTAATCTTGTTCAACCTAAACCTTAACTCTAGGGTCTCTCCAAACCTCCAGCTAATCATTAACTCTGCAGCTTGTCTTGTCAAAACATAATTTGCTCAGACTCTCCAAAAATGTTGCCGCACCCGTGTCAGATCCTTCAGATATGTACTATTTTTGAAGGATCTGACACACCTGATGACATTTTTAAAGAGTCCGAGCAAACATATGTCAAAACTATGTCGTCTACAAATATCATACACCATGACACCTCCCTTTGGATATGTCGTGTCAGTACATCCATCACCGCGACAAATAAAAACAGGCTAAGAGCTGATCCCTGGTGCAGTCCCATCACGGCTTGGAAGTGCTTGAATCTCCTCCCACTACTCTCGCTTCCGTCTTGACCCCATCATACATTTCTTTTGCCATAATGTAAACTACGGGTACACCTCTAATCTCCAAGCATCTCCGTATGCTTTCCCTAGGTCAGTGAACACCTTAGGTAAGTTCTTCCTCTCTCCCTATACTGACCAATCTCATGAATGGCTTCTGTAGTGATACCACTTCCCAGGAGTCTAGAGCGCCCCTTCCTTCACATTGTTTCCTTAGTGATTCAAATCTTCAAGGTTGGAGGTGGTTGGTGCTTTCCACTTGATAAACCCTCTCTTGTTTTTGCTTCTTTAGTTGAATTGATCAACCTGTTTTTGAGGGTTTGGAAAATGATGAAGGTAAAAATATTTTTGCAGTTTTGCCTGGCAATAACTTGATTATTTGGTTAAACAGAGATGCAAAATGTAATTCAACAGTGGTATTCCAGATGAGATGTGCATTTAGCATGATTGTCCATGCTTCTAGTCTTTTTGTTAATCCCTTATCAAAAAATCCATCCATGCTTCTGCCTTCTAGTCTAAAAGTATTGCTACGTTTGAAAGGTTGTTGCAGTATGAATCTTAGCAAGATCTGGTTTTATTTTACTTTGTGTTTGTATGGTTTTCTTTCTTGATAAAAGGACATCTTGGCTTTATGTATGTGTTCCATCCCTTCTCATACATCCCTTCTCATAATTGAAAAGATTATGCTATTGTAAGAAATTGACTTCCAACCTGTGACTTTACGGTTTTGCTAGCAAGTATTAACATGGTATCACTATGTTTCTTTAACCAAAATTGTCCATCAAGTATCTAGAAGTGCTTGCTGAAATCTTATTTTATCTACCAGAAGGTCCATCGAGTGTAGTCCTGAATGACCATTTTGTTCTAGAGCTAGTGGTGGAAAATGGGTGGATTGGGTTGCATTTTTGGGCTGAACGTGGGTTTAGTTCTTATTTATATGGGTAAAAAGCTGCTTGGGTGATGAGTATTTCATGTGAAACCCACATTTCTCTTGTTAAAAAACAGACATGCAATCTAAGAACATATTCCAATATGATGAAGACAGAATATTCCTGCTGGTGTCCTGTAAGCATATCGCTCCAGTAACAACTCAGAAAATAGGCTTTAATTAGTGGTAGAATCGTAGTGCTTCCAATTTGATGGTAATCTGGGAAATGCATTAACAGAAGTGAAAGCAACTGCAGTGGATTGATCTGAAAGGAAAACAGGTTAATGGATAATTACGTTAAACAAGTTGCTCTAATATAAATCAGGTCGAATGCAATTCCATGTGAGGTGAGATACCAAAATTGTTAATCGACTTGTATACATGTTTAAACAAAAAGTTCTCTTTGAATAAATTAAAAGGACTAAAAGAAAAAGAGAAAAAGAAAAAGACATGTCACTACATCTTATGTAATTAAAAATTTCTACTCAAATATAATGACAAAGGAAAATGATGTATAAAGACCCAAAGCTTGAAAGAAAAAGTTTACCATCTTATAGCTTAACTCATACTTCTATAAAACATTTTTGTTCGTAATTTCCTTGTCAGTGTTAAATGAGCTACCACAAGCATAAAAAAGAATTAAAAATCGAATAACCAAGATTAAGAAAAGAGACTACCCCTTAAGAAAAGAGACTACCCCTAATTAACTCATATCCGTCCATGGATTATTTTACTTGTTCTTTTTTCCTTGAAAGTTGGGAGGCTGAACTGAAATGAAGTATAGAAAGATTTCCCGGTACCAGAAAGATCTACTTCGCATCAGTAATGACATAAAATTGGTTACCAATTTACCATTCAAAACCTTTTCCAACCCATTTTAAATCTTTTTTTATGAAGTTGTTTCATTAGAAAGCATCAAGTAGGGGCATACTTACAATTAGGCAAAAATACAAAAGGGAATTGTAGGCCCCTATATATTTGTTCCTTCTAAATTTAGAGTACTAATGAAATCCAACAACTTTCCAGTATTAGATACTGGGGACAACTTTGTCCAGCAAACAGGGTTAACTAAGCATTTGGCTTTAAGAGCGTGGAGGGGACTTGAGGAACCATCATAACATCTTTTGTTCCTCTCAGTCCAAATACACCAAGAAATTTCAGCAGGAATCATATTCCAGGCCTTTCTGATGGTCTTATCAACTATCCATGAACTCCAAAACATGTAAGCTTCTCTCAAGCTTTGTGGCATCACCCAGCTTATTTTAAAGTAAAGTATAGAACGAGCCTTGTCTACGAAGCAGAGTGACCTCATCTTGCTTGCTTTTGGCGAAGCTTCTAGCTCTAAATAATTGGAGTTCAGGTATGGCAGGAATACTATCGACCATTACGAGCGATAGCGAAGCCAAGCTGTATAAAAGCAAGCAGCCCTTATAGCAATAGCAAACGGCCTACTTGTAGCCTATCAACGGATCAGTCAACATCAGTAGGGGTCCTCTTGCCTAAAAAAAGGAGTCAGCCCAGCATGGGAAATGATAGATGCACAGAGACATGTTCCAGAGGTCATAAGCTAATGGGCATTGAAGAAAGAGGTGGTTGTCTCCTGAGTGCTCTTGCAGAAATAGCATCTGTTGACCAACAGGAAGCTTTTGCTATTCAGATTATCTAGACTAAGACATGCATTCTTTAGAGTGACCCAGCTAAACATTTAATCTTCATAGGCAGTGTAATCAGATGGAAGAAGTTGTCTTATTCCAACAGGTAAGCAATGGATAAATACAATAGATTGTGTGCCAACTTAGGAAAGAAATAAAAGATGATTCAGATTCCTTACAAAGTTGACTGTTTCACCTGGCTTTTGGCTAAAGAGGCAGTCTTGACACAGGAAAACCTAAGTAAAAGGGGTCATCAATTAGCCTCTAAGTGTTTTCTGTGTGGGGAACAAAATGAGACAATCAACCATCTTGTTTTGCATTGCAAGTGGACAGACCAACTATGGAGGATGTTTATATGTCTAAAAGGGATCCGATGGGTGAAACCTGGAAGCATAACAGGTGTCCTAAGATGCCGGAACAAGGATGGCATGGTAAGTCAGAAGGAGGAGAGATGGAAAATTGTCCCAGCATGTATTTGGTGGTCAGTTTGGTCTGAGAGGAATAAGAGGTGTTTTGAAGGAGTATGAAGCATCTTACAGAATCTTAAGATAAATTGCTTAAGCCTATTTTATTTTTGGTGTGAGCAAAAATTATTAGCTCAAATAGAAGTCCTTTCTTTAGGTTATGTCAGTTGCGGTGGAGGGCACTTAACCAGAGTTCTTGAGGGCAGGTTTCCTTCTAGGACAGGCTTTCTTACCAAAAAGATTTCCTTAGAATAAGGGATTTCCCCCGCTACGGAAGGAAACACTCCGTTGATTGCTCCGAAAGGTTGAGCGAAAAGCTTTCGTTGTATCGGATCTCGGGACATTAATAACCGGTGAGGGGGACACGCATAAGCCGTATGCAGCGGGTCTCATGCTTGTTCTCCCTAAGGAGTCTGTCAAGTACAATAGGGTGGAAACCTATTTCAGTAGTAAGATGATGGACGACTTTCTGTCCAGAATTGAGCATATATCTAAGGGGTTTGATGCTTTAGACTTTTTGTAAGGATAGATTGAACCACAAGATGTAAGTTGTAATACTTTTGTAGGGGAACTACACTTTTAACTGTGGTATACCTGTGGATATATAGAATTTTTGTTACGTTTCTCAAAAAAAAGGAAGGCACACTTAAGTCCTAGAGAGGCATAAAATATGTTGAGCGTTTTGCCTCACTTTATGGGTTCTCAGCATCACCATCAATGCTCTAAGACATACTTTTCCTTGCCAACGAGCACAATCCTGAAGATGCGACACTGAACAATTGATATTTCACATTATCGTAAAAAAATCAATTTCTTTGTCCATATATTTGTTATTCATTCTTATTTTTTTTTTGAGGAACAATTCATTCTTATTATTATTATTATTAATCTTGGATCACTCATGCATATTAGTATTTTTTTCTCCATTCGTGCCTTTTTACATTAAAGCTCACACTTTATTTGCGTTTTGCGCTTAAAACCCCAAAGGACCTTAATAGATTTTTTGCGCAACGCTTTTGATATTACTAGGCCCAATGGCTTTTGACCAGCAAAACAGGCATCTATGTGGTTCAATAATGTCATTACCAACTTGGTCGAGCAGAGATAGACCAAAAAACTTCTTCTGGAATGTTTTACCTTGTTTATTTTCTCTAATCAGGATTGTAATCTCTGAATTTGCATATTCCAAATATCCCTGAAGCTACTTCTATTGCCTTGGAAGAAGACAATTAGAGCTTACACAGAAGTAGTGGAGAACTCCATCTTGTTTAAGACTCCTATCTTATTTTATGTGTCTTAGTTTGACTTGGCTCAAAATTTAAGAATGTAGAGAATATTTTTGAATCTTGTGCTCTTAAAAAGAAGTGTATCTCAAACACCAAATACCCTTTGAATCTTGTGGTCTTAAACATGCCATGTCATTTCTACAAGCGAGTGTCATTAAGGGTAACATGAGAATTCAGGAACAAAATACTTAATATTTGAAACAAACTAAAAGAAAGTAAGACGCATAAATTGAAATAGACAGAGTATGACATAAAAGATTTGGCCTTCTGCTGCCATACATTTTCTAGCAATATTGTGGGATGCTGAATGAACTATTCATCATACAGTTGTTGCCTTTAGTAGTGCGAGTGTAAGTTGTCTAGTTATTTCAATTGGTATTATGACGATCAAGTTAAACTATTGCTTAATAAAGGGTCAGTTGAAAATATATTTGAAATGGTATAGTGAAGTGAGAATCGAGACAAAGCTGGTTTTGTGTTAAAATATTGTCTGAAGTACTTCTCCCCTCTAAGAATTTGTTTCTCAGACCAGACTTAACTTTTTTGAGGAATGCATTAATTCCCCCCCTGAACCTGTTGTATGAAAATTGAATAGTGACCGAGCACATTGCTCTTGGACTGTGATGAAGTTTAGAAGAGGGAAGAAATGAAGGAAGTTTAAAATAGAAATACACAGCCTTAGTCTTCCTTTTCCTCCTATTCCACCACACTTAATTAGATGATACCATACCATTGCACAAATAATGTTGCTATTTTGGCCCACGATTGTAGATGGAAGAATGATATGTTTGCATAGAGGTTTGACAGTTCCTATCCAAGGACTGGCAGTAGACAAGTATCTTAATAGGAAAATGTTTGAGATGGTACATTGCACTTATAAACATAAGCATACAAGGGGAAACTGGCATTCAGTTGTATCTTTTATGTTCATTTTTTTGCAGCTAAAGTATTTTAGGTCTCCCTGGATTCATGCTGTATTTTTCTTAGCACATCTTGTCCTTTTGATTTGGTTGTTTTATTCTGATATGGTAACTCAGTAGTTTTATTGAACTGAAATATTTCTATGCACATCTCGCCCCACTCCTCTCTCTCCCTCTCTCTGGTATAATTAGCTTCCATTGTTAATTGACTTGTATTGATGGTGAGTGCACTGGTCTTTGATCTCCTTTTCAGGAAGAAGAAATTGATGGTGTAGAATTTTTGATAGTTGCAAGTGATGGGCTTTGGAATGTCCTGTCTAACGAGGTCAGGTTTCTTTTAGTAAATTTGTTGAACCTTTCTTGTTTTTTCAACACTAACCAATTTTCCTCAACTTAAAAACTCTTAGTAAGACAACAATGCTTAAATGTTCATGGAGTTAGATGTCTTGATTGCATAATTTTATTCGGCTTACTTCTTACCTAGATGTTGTAGCTTTTATCTAATTTCTGACTTGTATTATTTATCGTAAGAAAAGAACAGAACAAGAAAGATAAGCTGCAGAATTGCCTTCCTTTAGTAAGGTACTTGCTACTCCTTACAAATAGGAGGAAGGCCAATGATGCAGGAATCGAGGGGCCAACAGTCGAGTATCTTTCATGCATTAATGTTCTTTCTACAATATAAATAATCAAGTATCTTTCATGCAGTAGTTTTCTTGCTACAGTAACTGTATCTCGTTCATCTAGATCTTGGGTTTTATTTATGTAATTTTTCCTTAAATTTTCTTATAGGACTTATTTGGCTATTTCTTTTCCTTATAGGAAAGACTGGGTACACTAGATCCAATGTGATCCGGTCCTTACCTAGAGTCTAGAGTCTACGTATAACGGGAGCTTAGTCCCGAGCTTCCATTTCTTTCCACTTGGGAATTTCTTTGTTGACAAGAATTTGGAGTCTTAATTGTTTAGAATTAGGGTTCTTGGATTTGTTTCCTCATAAATAAAAGTAGATACAATTATGTCAGCATTCAACTTTTTGTTTATAATAATGCTGGCTTTTTGACATGGTACCGAGGTAGGAGGTACCATGTGGGATTATTAGTTTAGATGCATAGATGCTGGCTAGGACACTACAATTAATAGAAAAACGGGTAAGGGTAAAAAATGCCCTTAAACTATGCGAAATTGAACAAAAATGCCCTCTGTTAATAGTTTGGTCCGAAATGCCCCTATGGTTACTTTTGGGTTAAAAATGTCATTTTCCTAATAAATATATTGTTTCTTTTCTTTTTAAACACATTGCTTACCTAATAAAATATTATTTTTAAAGAACCTTTTTCTTTTTTCCTTTTAAAATCCAACTAATATAAAAGTAGAAAATATTTTTTTTTCCTTCTTAATCTCCTTTTATTAATAAAAAAGAGAATTACCCTACATGTGATTTACCTCTAAGGCATGTATTTATCAAGCATTGCCTCTGACCATCCATGATGATGCAAAGCCTCCTTGACTGTTTTGGGTATAGAGATGGAGTCTAGAGAGGGAATCAAAGATCTAGACGTAGAGGATAAGTGGTCATAGAAGATAAAATTAGCAATGGAATATATAGATCTGCAAGTACGTGTACCTTTGCAAAGATATGATGACAAAGGAACTGGCGTAGGACATGTTTCATTGGTCTCTCTCATCCTCGAGTAAACTTGAACAGTTGGCGGTCTTGCTAGCACAAACGGGGCAGGCACAATAGTCGATTGTTCTGTTAAAGCATAGGTAACTTGATAGACTAACTGCTCATTTTCCTCCTCCTAACTAGTAGAAACGGGAGGTGCATAGAAAAATGGGGTAGTCTCTGAACATACCATATCGGTTGATGCCAAATATTTGCCGAGTTTGGTAGAATAATGCCGATACCCCTTTTGAAGTTGAGAATAACCAAGGAGAACACGTTTCAATGCCATGGAAACCAACTCGGTAGCAGATTGTCGAGCATCTTGGAAATAGCATGTACTTCCAAATACCTTAGGTTCCACTGGAAATAGGTACTTGTCGGGAGTAGAACACTATAAGGCATGTTACCAACAAGTGCACTAGATGGGATGCAATTAATTAAAAAGTTAAGTCATAGAGACTGCATCTGTACAAAACTGTTTAGAAACCTTCATTTGGAACAAAAGTACCTAAGTTGTCTCAAGTAAATGCCTATTTTTCCTCTTAGCAACTCTATTTTGTGACAGTGTATCAACACATGAAGACTGATGGAGAATTCCGTGTTGTCTCATGAATGATTGAAACAATTCTGACATGTATTCTTTGGCATTATCACTCCTTAGAATACATAGTGAAGCACTGAATTGAGTTTTGATTTCAGCATGGAAGGCACAAAAGTGAGTAAACACTTCAAAACGACTCTTCATAAAATAAATCCAAGACATTCGAGAGAAATCGTCCACAAAAGTAACAAAATACATATGCCCTGTTTTGGAAACAATAGCACAGTCCCCAAACATCAAAATGAACTAATTCAAAAGCTGACTCAACTCGCTTATTAATCCTTGGACCTACTGAGGTGCGATGGTGTTTTGCAAATTCACATGACTCATAGTCTAAGAAGAAACATTCTGAAACTTGGGACGACTTCTTTAACGTAGGTAAAGAAGGATGGCTTAGCCGATAGTATGCTTCTAATGGAAACACGCCATAGGAGGAGGTACCAAACCGAGGCTCCCACTTATCAAAAATATAAGGATCATCAGATATATGTCCCTTACCAATTACTTGATTTGTCGTAAGATGACGAAACAAACAATGATCGGGAAAGAATGAGATATACAATTAAGTTCTCTTAACGGTGGTTAATTTTATGTTGGGGATAGAGACCTAGTCGTTTGAGGTTATGAGTGTTGAAGAAGACAGTGTTGTTGTTAATTCTCAAAAAAGAAGACAGTGTTGTTGTTGTTGGCATAATAACCCTGTGCTTATATAGGCACAAGGCAAATATGGGTCATTTCACATAATTCAAGGGCTTATTGAACTCTTTTCCTTTTGTCAAAAATGCCCACGTGTTGGTAAGGGTTATTAGTTAGTTATTAAGGGCAAATCTAGCCCCTTTTTGTAACGATAGGGGTATATCTAACCCCAACCATTAATGATGTTCAAATTTAGACCATTTTGCAAAGTTAACGGGTAAATTTGGATCTTTTCTCTTTTATTATTGAGTTCTAGAATATATCCAACTTGTTTGAATCTTAAAGAATTATGATAAGTGATAACTGTGAGGAGACACAACCCCAATTTTCAATCAACATATGCTAGTAAATCATGCCTTTTTAAAGATAATACTACAGTACTTTTCTACCCCTTTGCATCACACTTTTATTTTTAGGATGTTCCAAAAGAACGACACCATTAAATATTTGGAAACTATTAACCTTAATATTTTAAGCGTTAATTGCACTAAACACCCCTGTTAATATGATTTCCTTTTGGATACAACTCGTGTATTTTAAAATTAAACACTTACAACCCTCTTAGGAGGTATATCCGTAACTATACTTACACGTCTTAGGAGGTATATCTGTAACTAAGTACATTAAAATAGACAAACTAAAATTATAAATAAAAAGTTTTTATGTATTTATGAAATTTAAAAAAGTGGATAATTCTTTTTATTGAAAATATTTAATCATGCGTTAAATTAAAAGAGAATTTTTATTTTCTTTAAATATGTATCTTTTCAAACCCTTAGATAAGAAGTGACCACAAATTACTTAATAGGATGACGACATAATTATTTTCTCTTTTAAAAAAAAAACTTATTTGGCAAATTTTTTTTTATCTTCCAAGCAATTAAAATATAATGGTGATATCTCTATTTCTCTTTTAACATTTCAACCTCCTATATATAATAGAAATCCTACACAAATGAAACTTTATATTTTAATAAACAAAACAAAACTACAAAAGAAGAAATTTGTATAATAAAATATTAAAATTGAATAAACATACAAATAAGATACATGTTTAAAGTGCAAGAAGATTGTTACTAATAAGTGATATATCTTATTAGGTAATTTGTGGTATGTATAATTTTAAGTTACCTTTTAATAATTATATTTTAATATACTTAGTTACTGATATACCTCGTATAAGATTTAAGTGTATGATTTTCATAGTACAAGGGGTGTACAACAACAAAACATACTCTTGTAATTCAACAACTGGGGTTTGGGGAGGATGGTGTATATGCAGACCTTACCCTTACCTTGTAAAGGTAGAGAGGTTGTATCCAAAACTGAATATTATAGGGGTACTTAGTGTAATTAACCTTATTTTTTGCTTTCCCTTCCTGATGTGACTCTTACCGCATTCAATTTAAATAAGGGGATTTTGGGACCTTGCACATAGATTTAGTGTAATTTTTTTAATTTTTCCAAATTCCTTGCAATGTCAAACAATGTCACCTAAAAAGGATGGACAGAGTATAAATTTGATGGGTGGAAGGTGACTGAGGATGCTCTGAGGTGGATGATTAATCCAGACATCTCCCTTTGAAACCTCAGAACCTGGATTGTATTTGAATGGCTCATACGTGGGTTTCTTTTATTTCTTCGGTCTTTGTTTGAACATGGAGCTTGTCCTTAAAAGGTAGGGATATCAAAAAAGAGATGAAAGTCTTCGCTAAGCTCATTAGTGATCAGGAACTCAGTTTTGTAATTCCAAGTTGAGCTTTAAATTTTCATAGGTTTGAGGTTGAAATTGAGGGGAAAAGACTTTCTAATGTATTCACTATTTTGGGAGTTTGATGAAAGCGGGGATTATTATGCTCAGAAGAATTGGCCAGAACTGGTTCGTAGGCTTAGAGCTTGATGTAATGCTTCTTTGCTCAAGCAAACTCAAGTTTGGTTAGTGTTGATTTCTAGAGCTTGTGTGAGGCTTTTACCCTTTCCTTATTTATAAAGTTAGAAGAAAATAATAAACTGGGGAAGTTTTTCTCTCTTAAAATTACTAAGCTTCTTCCTTAATTCTAGTTTCATGATTGTTAGGACATTACAAAGTAGCTTCATAGTTGATGTTTTAGATTCAATTTAGATTTAGAATAGTGGAGTTTTTGGAGTTCATCTGTATATAAGGTTTAGTACTGCTCATTTAAAAAAAAAAAAAAACAAAGTAGCTTCATAGTGCTTCGCTTGAAAGCTTTGCTGATGTGTCTAGTATGCTGTTATTTGCTGATTGCTTCCTTAAAGATTCATGCAGTTATGAACATTAACGGTGTAACTTCTCTTCATTACATACAGGAGGCCGTGACCCTTGTGCAGGACATAAAAGATGCTGAGGCAGCTTCACGTAGGCTTATTGAAGAAGCTTATTCAAGGGGGAGTTCAGATAACATCACCTGTGTGGTTGTTCGATTTGAGAGCGCATGAATGGACCTTTTAAGGTCTGCCTACCTTTCCTTTACTTACAAACATAAAGAAAAACCAAAAAGACACGGAAACTTTCTCCTCTGTTGTTTTGCAACAGACTTAAGCATTAAGAATGATGTTTGTCGTCAATGCTATTCACTCTGCAGATAAAAGATCCCGAAGGGAAGATGTAGGCCTTGTAACTAGATTATTTTTCCAACTTTGCCATTCTTCTGTTGATCATTAAGTTATTCAGGTGGCCATGTCAGTTGAAGTAGTGGTCATGGGGATTTCTATGGATGGTCTCCTCTTATAGACTTGTAATGTTGCCTTCAATTGTTATGTTGTGATGACGAAGTGTAAATCACACTGGCATAGTCTTGTCTTCTCTATTTACATATATCTATTATGATAGGCGTTCTCTATTTCACTTGGCCTACCCAGAATTCGTAATCCAGTATTTGTTGACGTTGTATTCTCCTAACTTTGCTACTCATGGGACTATAGTGATTATGTTTACTACTACTTTCTTTGACTTCGAGTTGTGATTCGATTTAATTTTTTTTTTCCAGAGACTCCATAGATAAATGTTGTACGTAGGATATATGTAAAGTCATTGTTTGACTTATTAGGACACACTATTACGTTTAGGTGCTATACAAATTATATTTCTATGTTGATTGATTTTTGCATAGTTGGATCAAATAAAAATGATGTCAATGAACTATCATATCTTATAAGGTGTTTTCGACGATATTTATTAGGTCAACCTTGAGTTTGGAAATGACATTTCTCGTCATTTTTCTAAAAAAAAAAACGTTTTAAAATCACCATCAAAATAATAAGATGTAAGAATAGATACGAGTTTACAATAATGAAACATAAATTTCAAAATGGCCCTTTTACTTGTGTGATATGAATATTCATAGATATTGCTCTCTATTTCAAAACATATAATATATCATCAAATAGTTAAAAAAAAATATTTTAATTAAGAAATCTCCAAAAAGGCATAATACATGACTATGTCATTTAACTTGATTTCAGTTAATATTTATGCCCTTCAATTTTGGGTGTACATAAGTAGACATTTAAATTTGTATAAAATTGAAAAAGTTGGCAAACGTGTTTTACGTGGCAAAATACACTTAGAATGTCACGTAGGACACAAAATTGTCTTGTAAAACGAATGTGTCTATTTGTTTAATTTTATACAAGTTTAAGTGTCTATTTGTGCACATTCAAAGTTAAATGTCATAATTGTCAGCTGAAACTAAGTTAAAGGTCATATTAATGTAGTATGGCTGTAAAAAATTTAACAAAGACATAAATAAAAAAAGGTTTATTTAAATATTTATTTTAACAAAGACAAACAAATAAAAAAGTCGATTACAACATAAATTATTGCTTTAATAAAAATATTATCATAACTTTGTTGTATGTAAATATGATAATATTATAAAGCTTTTGAGTTGACGTGGATAGAAAAGTTAAACTTGAAAATATAGAATATGGGAAGTCGAAAAAGACTTGTGAATCATAATATGGCAGCATCTTGCGGGATATTAGGGAATGAGTGATACTCAGTAATCACTTACCATGAGGAAAAATCCTTTTATTTATGGAACTAACTTTTCTCTCCACATAATAGACATTCACGGTAATACAAATATGTTTATAACAACACATAAAAGATGTATTGTGTCCAAGTAAATATCGTTGCCAAGTAACTTTGTGGCCCGGTCAGGTTTTATAGCCCCTCTCTCTCTCTATATATATATATATATCCATACACGCATAAGATCCCTGTAAGAGTCGTTTCTGTTATACTATTCTCATGGCGAAAAAACATCAACAGGTAAACTACAAGCCCTTTTGTGATTAAAAATGGATTTTGTTTTGATGAAACTAAACTGCTTTTGTTTTTGTATTTCTAGTGCTGTGGAGCGGATCAGGATCATATTAGTACTGTCTTTCCTTACTGTTAAGGAAGCAGCAGACACGAGTGTGTGTCCTCTCCAAAAGATGGATACCCTTGTAGTTGTGGACATACATATATTTATAGGCTTGATTTTGATGCTAACAAACCATTCATTAAATCCCATGCTGCAGAAAATGTATATGAACAAGTACATGCATCACATGGGTACTTAACCATACTTTGAAAATGTGCAAAGTTGAGAGATTAGATCAATTTCGTATTTGTTTTGATTTAAACAAACAAACTTGCCCAGCATGACATTGATAATTATTGGATTGAGTTTGCCGTTGCTAGGCAAGTTCAAAGGCTAGAGTTGGACTTGTTAAGAGTGTGGGGAGTTTACTCAATGTTTTGGTCTCAATCATGAATATGAATATGCTGCTTAACCTCGTTTGAACAATTTTTTCAACTCTTTAAAGGTACCTATACTTATCTTGAGGAAAATAAGTATGTGCGAAATGCAAGAAGATATGCTAAGCTCTAGTGCCTTCACATATTGAGTTGGTGATACTGTGAACATAATATTTATGTTAGTTTTCAGTTATTTATACTCTTCAAATTAATATTTCTACTGGAACTTTATGTATAATCATATTTATATTTTATTTTTTTATTTTTTTTTATAACTGAGAAATCCGTCTGTGACCCGTCCTTTGGACCAATCACAGCCTTCTAAACTCGGTGGATAATGGGCCCGCCCCTCTACCCTTCTCCACTTAAATACCGGGCTTCGCTTTGCATGGTGTGGGGCTTGAACCTGCGACCTAAGCCACAAATCCTCCACCTTTTGCCACTTGAGCTAGGCCTTGGGGGCTGTATAATCATATTTATATATTAGATCATACATCTTTTATCTTAATCTTAAAGCCTACCTTTTGTCTCAAAATTGTATTAATGTAGTGAATGTGCATGGTTAGGGGAAGAAATTATTCTGGTCCTATTGGAATAAAGTTAGGCACGTGTGCACTTTTCTATGACCAATAAATCTATTTATCTTTATTTTTTTTCATTTTTTCATTTATTATTGCAATAAAAAAAAAAGGCAATAAAAAGGTGTAAAGGAAAATGAGCATTCACATTTGTTTAATTTGTTAACAAGTAGTCACAACTCATAATATAAAAGATTTCATTTTATCTTTCCTATAATTAATTCTCAATTTTAAGAAATAGTCCTAACTTATTTTGATATTACTTCTAATATAATAAATTAGTCTACACTGTGGAATTTTATGGAGGAGAGAGGTAAGCAAGGTCGAGAGATAGAGGAGAAAGCAAGTAGGTTATATCTCGGATATAACTTGTATCTCAATTTCAATTGGGATAAGATCAATCACAAATACACATATTCACAGAAGTACGATGTTCCATGTCTTTCTCAGATATCCACATATATAATCTATATCAATTTTTTGTGGTACACAAATAAAACAAATATTGATAGTCTGTGTTCTTACTAAAAAAAAAAGGGAAAATAACATTCCTTAGTTTTAAGGACTAAAATAACACATTTTAATTGATTGAAGGTCAAATATGGTAAATCATATAATACAAGGACCAAAACCACAATAAGATAATAACTTGAAGACCAAATTTACTACTTATTTCCCCATGTATAAAAATTGTATCACTTCCCATACACTTTTTTTCTCTATTGAAGGCATTTACATTGTCCCTCCTTACCACTGAGTCATCACACAATTTTGTTATTGAGTTCACAACTTAATATATTTATATATGTATTTAATTTTGTAGTACAAATATAGAATCTATGATAAAATTACTGAATTCGTCTGAACCACATAGCTCCCCAGGAGTAATATTTACAGTAGAAAACAGAATCTGATATTGTCTTCTTTTCATTTTCTGTTTAAATTGTATTTGGGTAAAGCTTTGAAAGTTTCACAGGGTAGCTTCATTTCTTTTGCTTACTTTTATAAAGTAATCAATTTAAGACAACCATTATTTCAATAAAATTGATTATTTCAATCCATTTTCTACTAAGCTTTCTTCAGATATATTTACTTTCCGTAGCATCACTCGGCATATCAAATATACACTGATTTCACTAATTTAGATTCACATCATATAGACATTGACTTGACTAATTCAAAATCAAGTCGATTAAAGAAGGAACCACTCAACAAGAAATTCTCTATTCCTTCAAATCGAACCCAGAACTTGTAATTATGGATAAAATTCTCCGTTCTGCCCAAGTGCTTCTTTATATCTGAACCTGTGCAGACACTGCTGTGGTAAATAAAAGAACTCTTCAAATATCAAATTAAGAGCAAGAGGACAACAGAAGAACATTCAGTCAAACGAACTACAAACGTGAAGGATAGAAACAGAGTTTGTCATCTCCAAGTAATTACATCATTTTGTTTTACAAAAGAAAGGGAAAGCATGAAGAAAACAAGGAGACATCCATCTCAACAACAGCCACTTGTTGATGCATCAGATTCCGGAGGTTTCTGTCTAAATATATTTTTCCTGACACCAGCTGAACCTTCAGCCAAGAGACTTGGAGTGTCCAGAATCTGCAAAACCAAAACTCATCATCACAACTAAGAAATGTTTCTCTTTGGTGGAGAGAAAGAAAGTAAAAGGGACATGTCCATCTTTTATATTGAGATCCAAGTTAAAAGTCGGCAAACTATTGCAAAAACACATTACAGATGAAGACAAAATATAACTGAACTTCATAGGGCATGTATTCTGTTCCGCGAAGCAATAATTGAACCATTTATTGAGATAATATTTGCTAGCAAGGACGTTGGACAAGGAAACAGCCCCAAAAAGAAGGGAAAGTTGCAGTGACTACGGGCAGATGACTGACAAAGTTCACCCCAATCTCATCTCCCCAACAAAGAAAAAACTTTCTTCTAGCATGGCACTAGTGTTAAAAGTTTGTTGTTCAGTTTAATGTTTGCCTAGAGTGCAAAAGCCACCAGCTGTTCAACAAGGAGATATCCCAGAAATGCATGGGACCATGATTAAGATATGGCCTGCTCTAGGTACATCCGAGATATGTTATCACCGGTGAAGACAGTTAAATATCTAAAATGAAGGTAAGAGATCTCACAGCCATCATCAACCTGTTGCTCAGCCAAACTCAATACTTGACATCCAGCACATCTTAGATCTCAAGAGTCCACATGACAAAACAGCTATAGATATGATATCATCCCCTAGAGCTAAATAAAATTGTGTGGTCCGCGTAAGGAGTGTAATGAATTTCAGTTTAAAAAGTAAACCATGTTGTATTGTTGGTGTACATTTGCTTAAGCGATTGTTTCCTGTTTTCCTAACTGCAGATATAAATATGCATACAATCCCCACCATCCCGAATAATAACTCCTTTACTGAGACCTACAAGTGCTATTAGGCAACAAACAAGCTTCTTTTCGGGAGAGATTACATCCCTGTTAATGTTCAATTGCATTGTAACTCCATTTATTTGAAAAACTCATGACCACTGGCCAGTCCACTCAAACTATTTTTCTTTTTTAATTCTTACTAGTCCATTCAAACTATAACATGAACAATATACAAGAAAGACCCTTGGCTGATTCATACCTTCAGCACAAGCTCCTCAAAGCACTGTTCCACATTAACCCTTGTTTTTGCACTGCATTCGATGAAAAGACATCCATATTCCCTGGCAAATTCAATTCCCTCTTTTTTGCTGACAACCCTTTCACTCTCCTGCAGAAAAGTTCATATGTATGTGAATCATCCCTTGAAAACTCACAAGCATCATCACGTACCGCCAATTTTGACTCAAAAGAAACAAATACACCTAGTCAATATGGCGTATACGATTGTGTTTGGGGAAAATGGAAGAAGCTTGAGATGGAAGAAATTCTCTTCCGCAGAGGAGGAGAGGTACCTTATCAACTTTGTTGCCAACAAGCATCTTGATGCACTCCTGATTTGTTGAATACAGGTCGATTTCTTTGGCCCATATATCAGAGAGATTAGTGAATGTGTCTCGCCTTGTTACATCATAAACTGTTGAAAATCAAAGATAGATAAGTCTAAAAGAAGACAACATGCTAAAACAATTCTTGGGGGTGGCAGGGTAGTTGGGTGAAAGAATTTGTTCGAACAACAAGAAATTCATTAAGAAGAAACTGAATTTGCTCCTAAAAATAAACAAGCAAGAAGAATCACATTTCTAAATGGTACTCACAATCAGATCGTTAAAGAGCTTTCCTATGCACGAGCACTAGTTTTTTCTTTCCATTAACGTTTCTATTCTTTTAACAATGCAAGAAAGGACGTATACTTTCCTATGCACCAGCACTAGTTTTCTCTTTCCACTAACGTTTCTATTCTTTTAACAATGCAAGAAAGGACGTATACTTTCCTATGCACCAGCACTAGTTTTCTCTTTCCACTAACGTTTCTATTCTTTTAACAATGCAAGAAAGGACGTATACTTCTCCTAAGAAATATTCTAAGAAGTCAAGACACTCTCTTCCATCCATTCACTGTGGCACTAGAACACTCTTTCAATGTTTTGGACTACTATTTATAGAAACTCGAAAACTACGACAACCATATGAACCAACACATAAGGAAGCATAATGTCATATATAGGCTGCAAGCTGTGCCAACTTCTTGTCTTGTGCTTAGTGTTTGTCCTGACAGGAGTGAACATTGCTTATCTCTTAGAAAGCAATTGAAGTGAGTGTAGCATGATGATTACATAATATGGATATCCATGAAATCAAATAACAAAGCAGAAAGAAGAGACATCAGATTACCCATGATTATTCCTTGAGCTCCTCGGTAGTATGAACTCGTTAAAGTCCTAAATCTTTCCTGTCCAGCTGCAAAACAACAAAGTCATAATGTTATAACTAAGGATTGTGCTGGAGGAGACCTCCTATTAGCACATTCAGAAAAACATGCTGAGTTCAATCACTGAATTAAATTGACAACAATATTCAAAGAAGCAAGACCAATCAGCTGCAACCTCTGCCACCACCTTATTTCTAAAGGCGTTAGGTGGGTCAGTTGGTGATGAGTTGATTTTAAATATATGAACAAATATCAAGAATTCGTTACTTAAGATTTGCTAACTTTCAAGGCACTTCATAGGTTTTCCTCATTTTAATACATTTTGCAGAAGAAAATTCTTGGAGGTACAATATTCAACTTACCATTGGCACCCCCACACCTAACTGAATAACAGGCATCACTATCTGAACTTGTGGACAACCCGCCTAGGTCCTCTAATCTTAGAGCCTAAGTGCTGCTTTGTGTTCACAGGTTACCATTTTGTTCACATATATACAGTATTCAATTATTTGCACTCTTCTTCGGTTCTTCCTTGTTTTTGATTGATGATGAACTTAGCATTGAATATTGTGCTTGGTTATGAAGAAGTAATTGGCTTCATTAATGGCATCAAAAAGATGCATATTAGTTACAATATTGGACCTGGTTCATCTAATTGATTGTAGATTTATTTGGGAACCATGTAATTGATATTTTTTATGGCAATCTAAGGTTAGATTATACTTGAACCAGTGTAATTAGGAAAGGAATATACCTAATTGTCTTGTGCAATCAGAACTATGGCTTGACACTAATGGATCTTTGTAACATTTTTCTCATGAAACATATAAAATAGGTTACACAAGGTAGGCTGTAAGGAATTTAAAAGATACTTGCAGGTATAATAGCAATCTAGGATAATGACTTAATTCATCAAGATACAGTTAGGAGAATACAAGAAGCTCAATGAAGTACTGAGAGAAATCACAAAGATTTTAGCATTCAGGATTTGACAAGATTCTACTTGCTCTAAGTTTATCAAAAATATGATTCATGCTTAGTTTGGTTCTTTAAGCAAGTTTAGTTGTCTAAACAAACCAACGTTGTCCTATTCTTGGTAATTAGTAAGTTTTTGGTGTATGCGTGCAATTGCATTTACTTGTGTGTGTTGCGACCAACAGTTGACAGTACTAGTTTCTGTCAAGTAAATTGTAATATCAAATGACTCAAGGGGGACGTAATTTTCAATTCTTCACTCTACTTGACAGATGCAAAATGATGTTTCTTAGGTTGAAGAGATTTTAGCTTTTAGATGGAAAACCACAAGATACAATTCAGGATACCATGTCATATAATCCAACTTAAGGGGTAATCAACAATGACCTCTCCTTGGTTCGCATAGGATATATTTGGATAAGAATTCTTTCAGGGGTCTGAAAGAATGCTACTTGGTTAAAAGGGTTTGTAACTAAAACATTTAAAATAAAGCATGACTTTATTGAGGATCGGGCATAAAATAACAGTATTACCTGTATCCCATATAGCAAGCTTCAACTTCTTCCCCCCGAGGGTGACATGTTTTACCTTGAAGTCCACACCTGAGAATATGAGAGATGACTTATTCCATAACTAGTTATCCAGGAAAAAAAGAAATAGGATTTGTCTAATGTATTTATGGCATATCAAGTGCACCGTGAAAACCTGCTAAGTTCAGTTCAAGTGCACTATCTTCACTATCTCTTAATATATTTGTGAGTTCAGACACTGTGTAACGGAAAAGCTCATCATGAAATTGGTCAGATCAATTAACTGTTTATAACCACCATTTTAATTCTAAGTATTTCTTTTCTTTTTGTTGCTGCTGGTCATGCGGCACGATGTGAATACCACAATGCAGTAAATACTCCCCTTCATCTAGTTAGATCAATGCAACACCACCTCGTCCACTCATATTGAATTAACTCCAACTGTTTGTTTCACTTTTGATATAGGCACATAACTGTTCCAAATAGTGTCTTATTAACTCTTTCATAATTTATGCAGCAAGTTATCGAATCGCTGCAGCCAAACTGTTAATTAACCTTCAATATGCAATAGAACCATTGACCAACACAAGTTTCGCGCATAAACAGCTGAAAGAACCCTCGCTTAACTTATTACCACACCCACAAAACACTAAACTATTATATTCAATCTTTCCATCAATACCACCATATCCACAAATTAATTATTACCCAATATTTCATATTTGATCCATCTAACATTCCCACTTTCTTTATCAAAAAAACATTCCCACTTCCACACACACCTCCTCTTTCTTTATAAATGTACACAAAAAAAATAATTTAAGCAAGTATATTTGCACAATATACTTAAAAACAGACAAGCCGCTAAATTAACAATTTTCGAAAAAAACATATTAACAACTTACCAATAGTTGGAGAAAGATCCTCAAAGGCATCAGAAGTGAAACTGAGCAACAAACTACTCTTCCCTACTCCTGAATCTCCAATCAACAACAGCTTAAACAAGTAATCAAACTCCGGCGAAGACGAAGACGGTTCCATTTTCTCAAAAACCCTCCAACAATTTCAAATTTCCAGTAATACCCAGATACTCAATCAACCTAAAAAACCCTAAGATCCAAAAAAAAAAAAACCCTTTTCAGAACACCAATCAACAAACACAGATTCAAAAACTATATATCAAATCAACAAAATTAACAACCAAATCGAAGAGAAAGAAACAGAGAGAAAACCTTCTAATTGGTAAAGTTGTATTAAATAATGATCAATACAGAGAAAAAGGTTGACGAATGGAGAACAAAGCTCGCGAAGCTTTTGCTTTCTTTTGAAGGCAAACTTTTATAATGAAGCGTTTGCTTGTACACTATGCTTTAACAAGTTGTACGCTTAGAGAGTTTACCGACTCGGATCGGCCACCGATTGTTTCGTTTGAGATTATTCATATTTGTTTGGTCTCTTTTCATCATGCCAAGTAATACAAAATATTTTTTTTAAAAAAAACAAATTAATAAATAGAAAATAAGTAAATTTTGTATACAAATTTGTTTATTATAAATACTAAATATAATTAAGAAAACTGTTAATTGTACGGTGACATAGATATATATGGATTTTTTTATAATCAAAATCTCCTAAAAATTGTACGTGGGGAGGTTCTTTCTACGTGTGTCTCATGCCATTCAAGGTGAACCAACTTGGCATTCACGAATTCTATATTGAAATTGAGACTTCGGTGGCTGCTCTAACAATAGAATATTTCAAACATTCGCTTCTGAAAATAATTTGAACTAAATATGTCGTTATTGAGTGCGTCTATTCAATTATTATAAAGACTCAATAAAATGTCTCACTTTCAGAAGTGGTCCTTGAATTTCAGTTACTCACAAAAGAGATATTGTTCAAATTCAATTCATAATTTCAGTTCAAAATGACTTTATTCAATATTTTAATCGAAGGAAAAAAGATAACTAAAAAGATTAAGGAGGAAACAAAAAATGAGAAGTAGAATTAGATTTTTTTTTTTTCAAAAATAAAGGATGGGAAATTACACCAACATTTTCATTTACCAACAATACATAATTTAGCAATATCGACTCCATTATAATTATGTCTTATTAAAGATAATAAGATCAAATGACCTACTAGCCTCAAGATAACTTGCATTGGGAGAAGATAATTGTCATGCAGAATCATAATTTAAGTTTAATGAGTTTGACTATCAAACCTTCTTAATGTTGAATTAAATATCATTACCGTTACTGAAAAATAATGATTTGGTAGCAAACAATAGTACTTTCTAGCATCACCTATGTTGACCCAAATAATTCATAATTTTAATAATATTGGAAAATGAAATTCATCTACTAACTTATATTCTACTATATTCTTTCTTCTTTTTTTTATGCTCACCAGAAATTGCTCACTAATGTTCACTATATTTGAGTCTTGATACAGAGGATAGTACGGACTCAATGTATATTACTTTTTGAAAAAAATATTTTAATTTATGTGGACATATATAAAATTTGAGAGTCAGTAAAAAAATTGACCAAAATTTTTAAAACTTTGTTTAAGTATTTTAAATTGTTAATTATTGTGATTTAAGTACTTTTAATTTAACTTGTAAATATATAAATTATTGAAAAATGCATTTGCTCCCTCGATCATAATTTATGTAGCAAAAATAAAATTTGGAAAGTCAATTAAATTTTTCTTTAACCATAACTTTTTTATATGTTTTTTTTTTAAAATAAAATATTTTAAGTAATTTATTATTATTGTGAAATTGGTGGTCTAAAGTAAAATCTTAATAAGAGGTTTTAAGAATATTCGAGATAAAATTATTTTTTGTGTGTGTCATATGTGTATCTCGTGGGCACATATGCATTCTATGCATTGTATGTGCATTTCGAGTTCTCTTTTCATAAACACTTTTTCATTTCTTTTTAGAAATATGGTGAGAAACACTCTAAAAATATTTCGACAAGAATCTGTGGATGTATTTTACTGAGCTAGCTTATGTTTTGTTTTAATTGTTCATTCTCAGCTCTACAAAGAATTAGAGTCATTAAAAAGAATTCAATCTATTGGAGTCAAAAATCATATAATTTCTTTCTTCTTTTGATAATGTTGGAAGTAAATCTTTTCACTCCTGTCATAACAATCAACTCTATTAATTTCACAACCAACTACCATCACCACCAGTACCTATAGATATTCATGATGAAGTTGCCTACGAAGATACAAAGTAAGAATTTATGCATATAAGATGTTTGTGTTTGTAGGCATCTCTGAAATTTTAATAGGGATAACTCTCTAATTCTCCCACACTAGACATAGTTTTGCTGTGGTGTACTAGACAAAAGCAGAGGAGCAAATTTTACAACAACATTTTCTACCAATAATAATGTCCCTATGAATATTAGCCAACAATTTTCGTATATAATATACGGGAATGAGAAGCTATTTTTTAAAAGTGTAAAATTAAAACCACAATATCTTAGAGCAATCAACAAACGATTATGATTGAAATCCGTACTTAATTCATGATATTCATGTTGATTTTATTTTTCACCTATATTAATTTTTTGTAGAGGTGATAAAACCTCCTACGTACTTGATTGTACCAACATCAGAAATCCAATAGTGGCTGTCATGTCGTCCTTTATTGATGATACCACAATTCAAGGTTGGATAATGAATATGACTACTACTTATACCATTTGTTGATGTTGAAGGACTTCACAAGAACATAAATTTCTTGCTATGACAGAATCTTAGGCGCAACCACCCCCAACCCCGGTCTTCCTCACAGGTGTAGAAACCTCTCCGCTTCTACGACTTCACCAGTGCATCTCCTGAACCATAGGAGCAATGACACTCGATACAACAACATGAACAACCTCAAAGCAACCTGTCTTTCAAAATGAACTCGCTTGGGACCTCTCAAAGATAAATCAATAATGCGAATTATCATTTTAAGGTTGTCTTGACAGAATGTTGACCATGATCAATTTCAAACTTAAGACAAATTTAAAACCCTTCTAAACGACCAAAACACCTTTAAAGCCTTGAAAATTGTGACGAAATTTCAACTAGGTAACAAGTCATTCTTTGGACCTAATGGGATCATTAAACTCAAATTTTCAAAATATTGACTTTGATCAAAACTCCTTGTAAAATTGAAAAACTTTTCTAAAACACATCTGATGTGGTATCCTATATGAAATAAAATCAAGTGAAATGAAAAGTGAGATATGTTTAAGTGGTTGAGTACCTCCACCATCAATTGATAGATTGAGAATTCAAGTCATATTAAAAGTAAGATACTACAAGTCCTTGTGAAAAAAATTAAAATAAAATAAGCAAATAATCAAAATTTAAACATATAATTATTCTTATACACATCATCGAACACGTTAAATAATTTAATTCTTGTTTTTTAGTTTCTACTTTCGTAACACCTCCTGACCTTATTTCCCCAAATTTTGTCCCTTCCAACATTTAACAAACAGAAACCCCGCATTTTCAAATTAAGCTGTCTCCGGTGCTTCAGCCCATTCTCCCCGTATCTTTCTCCGGCGAGTCTCCGAGCAATCACTTCCTCCGGCGGAAATCTAGCGGTAAGTAATACTCTCACGGTTTCTGCCTTTAGATTTTTATAACTATACTTGTTTTCACCTGTTGCAAATCGTTAATCTCTTTCTTCAAAATGAATTTTATCTGTAATATGAGAATCCCCAATATGGGTTTGATAGCATTGACATTTTCTGGTCTCCCACTGCCCAAATGAAGCCCCAAATCTTTTTGTAAGATAATTTGCAGTCTTCTGCTTACACGAAATTGTTCAGTTTTTGGTGTCGTATTTGTCTTGCAACCCATGATAGTTTTGACAAATATTGTAAGTAGGTTCATGTATATGAAATTTAGGAGATTCAAGCTGTGGAGGGCAATGTCTGGTTTTTCGTTTTGTTGTTGTTTTGGGATTACTAGATGTTGATTTCGATATCATGGCCTCATGGGGCAAGACAAGTTTTCTTTAGATTAGTTTTATGTGTAGGCAATTAGAGGACTTTGATGTGGCTCTCATAATGAGTCAGCAACATACTAAAGAAGTTTGCTAAGTTGATGTAGAGTTGCAAATTTGGGTTGGTTCATTATACAATCTGGAATTGGAAGCCAACTAAAGAAATAAAGAGGGTCTAAGAACTAAGCTAAAAACTAGGGATAATTCATTTTCTCAAAATAGAAGTATGTTCTTTCAGGGGAAGTTATTTATAGGCTTAATACATAGGGAAGTAGGACGGGACTGGGCTAACATGCTTCTCTAAAACAAGCCATAAGTGCCCAATGCTAACTTGAGCCTCCTTAATTCCTTTCCAGTTTCTTTAAGAGGCTTAAGAAATTCATATCGCATCAAATCTCCTTCCTTCAACTCACCCTTGTCCTCAAAAGTGTGCATTGTAAAAATCAAGGAGCTCATGTGTACATTTACCGTATGTAAACATTCTTCAGTGTTATCAAAAGAAAAAAGCCCCAAAAAGCTCTAAAATGCTACTCTAGTTCTGCTGTCTTTATTTTTTCAAGAGTTTTTGCAGCACCTGAAACAACTGCAACACTCCTCCCATGTCAAACTTCATTAGCTCTATCAAGCAACCAGGTTCAGTGTTGATGTACCGCCACAGTCAAAAGTCAATTTCGTTCCAACTAAGGCTAACAACTTCTTTGTGATTTCTGCACTAGTAGGCTTATAAGATACAAACAACAACATACCAAATGAAATTCCACAAAATGGGGTCTGAGAAGGGTGATGTGTAATGAAACCTTACTCTTACCTCATGAAGGTAGATAGGTTGTTTCCGATAGACCCTCGACTTAAGTACAGCATAACAAAACCAGAAGGAAAACAGAATACCATTAGCAAATAACACGATAATTGAAGCTCATAAAACATGTAATAATAAAATCGAAGTATAAGAAAGTAGGAGAAAAGGAAATACTATTACCACTGATAAGGGAAACTAGACGTTGACTACCTACTAACCTTTCTATCCTTACCCTTGACCTCCATATCCTCTTATCTAGGGTCATGTCCTTGATAAACTGCAAGTGTTTCAAATCCTGTCCAATCACCTCTCCTCTCCCCAATACTTCTTCGGCCTACCTTTACCTTTTCTCGGACCCACCATAGCCAACCTCTCATATCTCCTCACCGGGGCATATGGACATCTCGTCTTCACATGCCCGAACCATCTATGTTTCACTTGTATCCTACTTTTTCCCAAATATCTTTGTTCCTAATCCTATCTCGTCTAGCATGCGGACACTCTCAACATCCTTATTTATGCTATTTTCATCTTTTGGATGTGCGAGTTCTTGAACGACCAACACGCGGCCCCATACAAAGTGGCTGGTCTAACAACCACTTTATGAAACTTATCTTTAAGACTTGGGCGGCACATTCTAATCACATAAGACACTGTATGTGAGCCTCTATTTCCTCCACCCCACTCCAATACGATGTATTACATCCTTGTCGACCTCACCATATCCTTATATTATAGACCCAAGATATTTGAAATTTTCTCTCCTAGCGATGACCTTAGTATCAATCCTCACTTCCACATCCTCCTCATGGGTAACGCCACTGAACTTGCAATCTAAGTACTCAGTCTTAGTCCTGCTCAACCTAAACCCTTTAGACTCTCAGGTCTGTCTCCCAACCTCTAGCTTATTGTCAATTGATACTATGCCATTTGCAAAATAGCATACACCCTTGGATATGTTGCAGTACATTCATCATCAAGGCAAATAAAAATGGACTAAGCATTGATCTCTGGTGTAATCCCATCACGACTGAAAAATGCTCCGGGTCTCCTCCCATTATCCTCACCCATGTCATGGCTTGATCATACATGTCCTGATGTCCTTAATCTCCCTAATGTAGGCTGCAGGTACTCCTTTAGCTTCCAAACATCTCCATATAACTCTTCTAATGACTTTGTCGTATGATTTTTCTATGTCAATGAACACCATATGTAAGTCCCTCTTCCTCTCACTATACTACTCCACCAATCTACTCACGAGATGATTGACTTTTATAGTTGAATGCCGTGGCATGAATCCAAATTGGTTCTTGGTGCTGCACCAGAACCATTAGGTACACATGTAAGAGCCCTTGGAAAAGGTAATATTGTAGACACCAATATCATTGGATCAATCAGTACAAGTTGGAACTGCTCATGCTCAAATTCATGTGACCAGCAGTTAACCCCACACTGTTGTTCAAATTATTGAACCCAAGCATTGGGTTGGCATGTTCCATTTGGTCCTGTGCAAACTTAGTACTCAATCCCTATCCAACATGAAGCGCAAGTTTGACACCTTGGGCCTCATTCCAGTACTCTTCTAAAGAAATAAAATTGCTAGATAGGTCATACAATTCCATCATTCAGGGAACATTCTTCACACCAACAAGAGTATGATCCATTGCAATTTCAGTGCTAGAACTGTTGTGCCCCTTCTTTTGTTAGTGTCTAAATGTTCCCCTTGGAGTCATAGTGAAACTCTCTATCACTTGACAGTATCTCAGATGGTATGCACCAAGTGATAGCAATTCCTGTTGCAACATATGACCACTGCAGTAGTTTGTCCCTCAAATTCCCTTTACTGGTGCACACTGCAAATGTTGTACCGAGGAAGCAAATTTGTCCACAAAGCATTCTTTCTAATTTCACATTGCCATAAGCAGCATGAGAGCTAAATAATATCCACTAAACAGAGGAATCGATGTGAACATGCTTATACTTTACCAGTTCTTCTTCGACTTCAAGATAGCCAACTTGATCAGTTACATCAGAATTATGCCAACTAACAAAGCTACACCGGAGATTCCCCTTACCTGGTACGAACCCACAGGAATCTTGCATTATCTCAAAGCAATGTACATATTCCTTGTTAGTTCCTTGTTTGTGCATCACCAGATATCATTGAATACCAGGACTGCTAGTTCTACGTTAACAGTCTCTTCCTTAACATCTGTTGCTTCGTCTTCCTCATCTACAAGGGTACCCTGTGAACCATCTAACGATGAAGCAGGTTCCACTTCTTCATGCTTTATTGCATCTATTTGCATGGTTGTAGCTTCAACAATTGAAAGATCTGCCTCTACCACCATCTGCGTGTTGTAGCTTTTTCTTCCATGTGCTGCTGAGCATTTCTGGTCTTGGCTAAACTCATATCACCATACATCCATCTGATCATTCGTATTTTACAAATACGACACTCGTTTTATGGAAATTGCTGGGGTGCTGAAAGCCCAACACTCGCTCATGTAACTTTGCTAGTCTTACGACTATTTTGTAGAACTTGTTTTGCTTATGGTGGAGGAGGAAACACATAATTGAGGCTGCAACAGTTCTGCCCCATTTGGGCCTTTTAATTCCAATACTCAATAATTGTCTTTTTGATAAAATTAAGGGCATTATAATGAAGTCAAGGGCAGCACATGAGGCTGACCCACCTAAGAGGCACGGCCAAGTCCAAGACGAGCACAACAGTCATGGTCATGCCATGCAAATGGTTATAGAAAATCATCATCAAAATTTGAATTGATGAATATGAACGGAAAGTCTTAATGGATTAATGGTGTGGATACAGTGAAAGACCGTAAAATTCATGTAGCTTGGAAGGCTATTGTTTCATGTTTTGTGCAGAATTTTGACTGCAATTCTGCTTACAATATGTTTTATCAGATGATATGTGAGATGCAATGACCAAATAGCATCATGTGATGTTCTTTTTATCATGTGTTATTAGGTTTTAATGATTAGATAGGTAATTGAAAAACTGAGTGTTCTGATGAGAAAAAGACAAGTTGAAGCCAAAGTTTAGGTACTTGCTTGTGATATCAGCTTGTGCTGTAGACAATGTGAATTATTAAACATGAATTTGTTACAGTAGGACGTTCTGAAACCTATTCGTGTCTGATAACTTTACTAATATTTAGATATGGTTATAATAGTTTTTTAAAGAGGTGGAGTGCCTTTTTCTGTATTGCAGTCAAAGGATACGGGTGCGGATTCCTTAATATCGGGTAATGAAAACAATCTAGTTTATTTAACGAGGCTTTTTCAATATATTGGTAGTTTTAGAAGTCTAATGATCCGTGAGACCTACTGTATGATGAATAGGTGGTATATAGGATCCTATGTAATTACAACACTTTTGGAGGGGAACTACACTTTTGTGGTAGTATACCTGTGGATAAATATAGACTAACTGTTACATTTCTCAAAAAAAAAATGTCATCACAAGAGTGCGAGAAGGACAATTAGGATTTCTTTGAAGTACATGCCAGTTTCTGAAATGAAGGCTAATTATATTTCAAGTGTTCCAAGTTTTCTTCCTTTTGTCTTGATATGGAAGCTGGTGGTTCTGTAGTAAGGGTTCTAATGAATGAACAATGTGTAACAGTATAATTTCTGGCCATGGAATGCATGGATTTGGTGGAAGATCAGAGGTACCTAGGCCTTTTAGCCTGCAGTCAGTGCAGGGTTGTTGATAGACCATTCTGCTGGTATATCTTCATGTCTGTGCCATGTTCTTGCAGCATGCTAGTGCATGGTGCAAGACATGTGTCAACAAGAACCAGCACCTATTTATTTTGGGTAGTACATAACACTTGGAATCACAAGAATAGAGAAGTTGCTGTAGAGGCGCTGCTCAAAATCTCATGGTTGACTCTAAGATTGCGGGGAATCTTTATGCTGCTTTTTCATTTTTATGGATGTGAGGATTCTGCAAATGTGATACCTCCAGCACTGACACAACATATTTGGAAAAAAAATTTCCATCCCATAGTTTGATTTAGGTGAAGAAACGGTTCACATGTTATTGCTATAGAGCTGGTGTGAATTTTATATTTGGACGCCTAATGCTTAATATCCTGGTGTTCTTTTACATAAGAATGCGCTGCTTTCAGTTTGCAGAAGAAGAATCTGTAGGGATTGCCATGAATAATTTTGCAATCTATAGTGGTTATCATGAATACTTTTTGCCTTTGGTTCTTTCTAGTGCTGGGTTATAGGGAATTATTTCCGAAACTCCTGTAATTTGGAACCCATTTGTAGGACTTATTTGAAACTGCTACACTCCATTCCAGCCTTTCTGTTACAACTTAGCCATTTAGGAGGTCGTTGCAGCAGTTACCGCATTTTTTTGTCTGTTATAGGAAATGAAGTAACTGATCTTTGTGGTGTGTAGTTTCTGAAAATAGTAGCATAGAAAATTTATCTAGTTCCTTATCTGTTATATTCTATTTTTACTTTAGGAATTTGTAACTAGGGCTCGTTATTGTCTCACGCAAGCTTCTGCATTTCAGAGAAAAATGTGTTAATATCTTTCCTTTTATATGCCAATGTGATATTTGTTTTTAGGTGATCTGGGGCTTTACAACTCTGATATATTTTTTTCTCAGGTAGACAAATATGAGTATTAAACCAACAGTTGCTTTGAGAGCCATTATTGTCGGAGGAATAGCTGCCTTTGCAAAAATTGGTGGTGCTGTTAAAGCTGCAGGAGGAGTAAAATTAGGTGCAGCTGCTGCTGCCATGACTGCTGCAGCAACAGCAGCTGTATCAGGATCCAAACAGGAAGAAAAGAAGGATAGTTCTCAGCAGTTGTCATCCAAGTGATGCACACAACTCATGTGTTATTTTTTTCAACAATGTAACGTATAAACTGTCAAAATAAAAGTTGTAGGGTGGTGGCATATTCCAGTCAAATGGTTTCCCAGGATGATCTTTAATAGCTAAGATATATGGGTCCTTACAACTGCAGGACTCGTTAGTTCTGTACTAATGGAAAGTAGGAGTTTGTTGAAGTGAAAAAGCATCACTCAGTGCCTGTGCTAGATGCAGTTTGTTTACCCTCCGGTACCTGAGGTATGTTAATAGTTTTGTACCAGTAAAGGATATATTACTGCTTCCGTGATACTTTCAAAAGCAAAATATATGTTTTTGTAAGGTTTTAAAACATGAGATCTGTCAATAAACCCAGATGGAACTTCTGGTTCTGGGCGCGGAAAATGGAGTAACTCCTTTTACAATAACTACCAATTGGATCTATTTAGTTCTTCAAATCTCTCTAGATGTTACCCTTCATCTCTTTGTTTTGTAATATCATTGTCCCTTTGCCTATTTGATGATAAATTAACGAGAGAAATGTTGAAAACACCCCTGAACTTGACACATTTATTATTAGTTTCGTCCCCGAACTATTGACAGCCTTAAAAACATCTCTCTATTTGACTAACTAAACTTAGATACACCCTCAATCTATCACATAGTATAACAAGTGATCTCAAACTCCTGTAAGAGCATGAGGTTCTTAATAAAAAGCCGAGAGAAGTGTTGAAAAAACCCCCTAAACTTGTCGAGAATGTAGGGGTGTATTTCACTCATCTTGCAAGATCGTGTGTGTGTTTAGGTTCAGTTAGTCAAGTTAAGGGGTGATTTTAAGGCTGTCAATGGTTCGAGGATGAAACTAATAATTCGCGCTGAGTTTAGGGGTGTTCTCAATACTTCTCTAAATTAGCGGTAAGATATGTGAAGGTCTTATCCCTTAAATGTTTGCACAGACAGTCAGAAGTATGAAATTCTTATTTAATCAAATTCAACATTGATATTAGTTCTCCTAAACTGTTAGTCAACCATAATCAATCATGCCATAAAATAATATCTAAGACAACCATTATGACATACAGAATGACCAAAGCTGATAAAAATATTAAATCTTTTCTATTATAATAATTCTCATGAATGCCATCCATTGAAAAAGTCAAATACATAGAGAAATGTTTCACCCACAGAAGATAGTAGTAAAATATTTTAAACTTGATAACTCTGCATTTGCACATCTTGAGACTTCAAAGGTTCATACTCTCCCAAATAAACTTCAAGATGATCAGAAAGTGCAGACTTGTCAATGTTCTCATGGTGATAGGACTTGCAAACAAAGTAAATAATTGTTTGAATCACCAAACCAAATAGCATCAAAGTAAACAATAAAAGAAGACAAAACAACCCAACCCCTACTCTATACAACATCCCTAGATGCATATGATGGCTTCCATGTACCACAAACTTCTTGAAAACAAAGTTCAAGATACCAAGTGAGAGATTGAACTTGAAAAAGAAAAACAAGGCTATTCTCATCTTCCCCTTTAACAAATCCTTGCTTTTGATCATGGCTTTCACTCCATATGAATCCTCTAACACAGTTACCACACTAGCTAAGTGCCATATAACCGAAAGGTACACAGATCCAACAACATAAACAATCGCCATGATCACAAAAATAAGGTTAGGAAGACCATCATTTTCACCCCGCATGCTGAAAGCCCATACAAACCATAAAGCTAAGAGAAAGAAGGAAACAAGGTTATAGATGAAGAAACAAAGGAAAGCACACAAGAAAGTCACCATAACCCTCTTCCAAACTTTAGGAACAACACTCATAACTTTCTTGTAACCGACTTCACGAGACGTGTATATGGAAGCAATTGTGTAAACCACAGCAGAGGTGGAAAGAAGGGAGAAGATGATGAGGATAGTGAAGTAGACAATTATGAAAAGCCATAGAGAGGTTAGCTCTGAATCTATGTGATCAGAGATCTTGTTGTATTTTGCCGTGCCCGTGTGAGTATGTCTGAGCTGAGATTCAGAGTGTTTAAGGTCAGAGAAGAAAAGATGGTAAACTTCCATATGAGCTAAGAAGATGAAGGACATAGGAAGGATCAAAGATAGGGTGATTTGGCTGAAAATTTTCTTCCATTGGTAGATAACTTTGTAGGCTTCTATGTAGATATCAAAGAGGCCTAGGAATTGCATCTCTTCTTGTTCTCTATCCATGGTTAGTTGCATAGAAAGAGGATATGGAAATGGAGTTGAATGAGAGATTTAATATATGGTAGGAAATTGGATAGTTATATAAGTCTTTCTCTCTCTTAGGTCAATTGGTTGGAAAAATATAAAAACAGAATTGAAAAATAAGGATTTGAATCTTGAATAAGTACAACATCCTTAAAGAAATATTGCTCGTATATTTGGTAAAATATGGACAGTTTTTTTCTAGATTCCTCAAAGTCAACAGATATGGCAAAAATAAAATAGGCATTTCTCAAGGAAGTCATTATATATAATAAGAATTTGTAGAAATTTTTTTTCTTATTTGGAACAAGTATTTGTGTTAAGTAATTCAAAACTAAGTTTATAATTTAAATACTTTATAGAAATGAAACAAATACAAAAATAAATTGTATTTATTTAAAGTCCAAGTCAACTAGTCAACTCATTTTACAGAGACCATTCCACAAATAATTAAAGAGCCTCTATCAATTTTGCTCTCTTGAAAGGAAGCTACATGTGGTGCATTAAGGGATTTGATTATTGATTTAAGACCAAAAAGAATAAAATTTATAATGTCCTTACTAGCTTAGAAAAAGTGAAGAAGGATATTGAGGATGGGGTTGGGGGGGGGGGGGTGTTCCGTACGGACATAAAATATTTTCTAATTTTCTCATGTTCAGTTGGTCAAAAGTTTTGAAAAAGAAGTTTTTTAAAAATGACTTTTTTAGTGCAAGTAGGAAAAAAACAAGTTTTACAAGTGACATTTCACATTAATTACATCATCCCTATCCTACTAGGCGACTAACCCCAACCCACGGCGCCTCCATCCCATCACTACCCCTACCTTACCTACCATAACATTTATCTATATTATATATAAATATTTTCCATGTTCGATAATGGTTTTTTTCAACTTGGGTGGACATCATGGATGATCATGATCATTGCTTATCACTAAGGTTTATTATAGCAAAAAAGTGATAAAACTAAAATTTGTAATAAAACAGAACACATATTATTCTTATATATTTCGAATAAAATGAAAATAGTTGATAACTAATCCATAAATCTGATGCTGGAAGTTACAACTAAGTTTCACAAAATATAAAATGGTCAAATAAAATACTATCACATCATTAATTCAACAAATAGAGTTATTTATAATGGGACGAATATATACATTATTATAACAGACAAAAATTAATTGGAAGACGTGATTGGATGAAAGATGAGAAATAGACTTTGAAAAAACTAATGGGTTGTTTGGATTAGATACAAGTTATGTAAAAATTTGTTGAAATCGTGGAATATTAAAATACATTGGCTTGAATATTTTATTTTCTTAAATATTTCTCCCTCTATAATAATGTACGAATTAGTTATATCGAGAATAATTATGCAGCAATTAATTATGAAAATTGAAAATGATCCTTTGTTGAATGTTTAATTTGATGAGTATTGTTTAGGCAAACATGAGTTTTCTAACTATTACGAAGGTCAATTTTCTCATTTTTGTAATATTAATCGACGCATTGCTAATTTCATATTTTTATTCGTATTTTGTTCTATATAAAATAATACATAAATTTTTACATAATTTATGTAAGCAACAAAGAGACCATCCAACACCGTGTAACTAGTGCTGAATTTTATGTGGAGTATCAAAAGGGCAACCAAATATTTTCTCTGTTCATTTTTATTCGTCTATTGCACTACAAATAAAATTTTATTTTTATTTGTTCACTTTACATATTAAGAAAAAAAATTCTATTTTATTTTTAGCATTAATTAATCATTTTAAATTATTTTTCAAGTTCATTAAAATTATATATCAATTAATCTGGGTATCATGATAAAATATATACTTACATTTATTATTTCTTAAAGATTGTGTAAAATCTGAATAAGTAAAAGTGAATCGAGAGTAAGATATATGAAACCAAACAACTCCTTAAGTGATGAGAAATTTCTCGGGCGGCAAAGACCAAGACTAATTCAGCGGGTCTTTAGGCGCATCGGCGAATTTTCTTACGCCTTCCTTTTCAGCTTCCTCGATTTTCTATTCGATATTTGATATTTTAATTAGGACAGAGTAAATTTGAATTAGTGTCGAAATTCTACGTTATGGGTAAAACATTTTTAAACAAAAGCGATTTTGTATATATAAAATTCAAATTCGAAATCTCTAATTAAGGAGGTAGAAATGCTTACTTCTCGATCACAATTCTTTAGCAAACCATATATTACTGTTTTTTTAACATAGAATTATTAAAATGTTTCGAAGTTGAATTTTTGAATTTCGAAAAACTCTAAAACACTGTTTTCATAATTTTCACTCCGAATCACTCACAAAAATTCAAAAACAATTTCGATCACAACACTGTTTCATAATTTTTATATCGCCCACTAATAAAGAAAAAAATGTCAATTTGTCCATGTACTATTCGTATGTTATATTATGAGTTTAATCTTGGAGACTTTCAAGAAAGTCTCGTTTCTTTCCTTGATGAAATTTTAATTAAAGAATAAAAAGGTAATATTAAAAAATACTAGTAAAAGATAAGAGGGGTAACTAAAGTATTTTAACACGTAATATTCATTCATTTCACGTTGGAGTTTCATAAATAATAAGAAAAATACGAGACAATTTGTTAATAGCAAAGATACGAAGAAACTAAGATATTTCGAACATAGCAAATTTTAACCTTTTACTTTCAGTCAACTATTATCAAAGCACTTAAAATTCTTCAATTCTACATATTTGAGTTTTCTCAAATTGGGCTTCTACACCAAATTGAGAAGACCCTAACAAATCTTAAGAGAATGAAGAGACCTATCATTAATTAATTAGTTGGTTCGGTTTGTCTAAATTTTGAAAAATACATTTTTTTTTCTTCTAAAAAGAGTAAGTGACGATATTCCATATTGATTGTGTCTTTTTCATTCTCCAATAAACTTCATCTTCACCCTCACCTCGTAGTTCCCACCGCATACCCAGTGACACATTCAAAATTTTCACTAAAAAAATTCAAAAAATAATATGTAGTGCCTCATACTTGAACTTGGAAATCAAGATGAATTTTGAACCTCCTAAACTATGTCAACCTTTAGTCTTGTGTTTAGGGGATTCAGTATATATGTACATAAAAATTAAAAATTAATCCTATATTTGCCCCTGCCCACATTCCTACCCCATCGGCCATCATGCTCATCTCTGATAATATTTGTCTAGATTATAGATATAAAAAAAGATATATTATTGTTGTGATTGTATTACATTGAATGTATTGCCACTGCCTGTGTCTGATGAGAGCTGACAAACAACAACAACATACCTATGAAATTTCATTAGGCGGGGTCCGAACAGATAAATATGTTATTTTTGAAAGATTCATCGCTCAAGTGCATCGAATTCAAAGAAAAAAAGAAAGAAAAATAATGAAGAAAACATAATTGTTACTAAGAAAATTAATGTAAAGTCATCTACAAGAAAAAAGAAACAATAACTATAACAAAATAGTATGGCAATCGAAACACAATACACAACATAAGACAGGAACTACAATGATACGAGTAGATCATCTAGATGTGATGTAGGTAATCTATCTTAATGCAAACATAATCAATGACTGATTTCACGGCTTAACTCATGACTATATAACACAACTCTACCATAAATCTTCCATGATTTCACGCATGTACAAAAATACTTTCAAATCCGTTTGTCCATACATTTTGGTTCTAAAATTCAAAATAATTCTTGGAAATTATTTTAAACAATTGCTTGTTTATCGAATTGACTCATCATTTCAAATTAAAATTTGAAATACATAATTCAAAATTTGTAAAAAAACATGTTAGAAAAGTTTTCATTAGCAAAATTTTAACTTTATTGTCAAGTCCAAAGACACATTCAAATACTATTTTTTTTCTCCCTCAAATCCCAAACAAATCATATTCCAACACCTATTTATAGTGTAGCAGCTAGCAGCCATCTTTTCAACAAAGTATGCATCAAGCATTACTCCTCCCAATAATACGACTCAGTTATATATTACACTGTCTGTCTCAATTTTAAGTATAGTTTAAATTTTGAGAGTTAAATAATTTAATTTTGATATGAATTTAGATATGCATGAAATCTTCAAGTTTTTTGAATAAAGTATATATTTTTGAAAATTATATAAAAAATATTATAAGTCACAATAACTGTTGATTTAAATTATTTAAATAATATATTAAAATTTATGATAAGAAATAGACTTTTTTGAATCTTGAAATTCAAAAAATGCCATATAAATTGAGATGGACGAAGTATATGGTTACAATGATAAATAAAAAAATTCGATAAAACATAATAGCTTGTCAATCTAATAGTAATAACTTAAAATTTTTGAGAAATACTATCCAACATTACACCATATATTAGATAGAAAGAAAGATTTAGTGTTTTAACTATCTGAAATGAACTCGACTAAGATACATTCCATGTTGTCTATATGTAAAATACCGTGTGGAATTGTTTGGTTTGTAAATAAATTATATATAGTGAGATTATAATATAAATAAAAATCAAACAATGATGAAATTATTTGGTAATATATACTTTATTGATGAATGTTTGATTCATTGCACCAAAAATAAAAAATACGAAATATATATATAACTATGATTATAGAAAGTTATGATAGAATAGATAAAATCTCTACATTTAATCAGAAATTTCGAATATGAATTTTTTTAGAAATGATAAAATTCTAGATAAGAGCACAAGTATCGCTAATTCAAAATCAGGGCCCAAAACAAATACTGAACAGTGAATAGCTCGAAAAAAGTAATATATGGATGGACATTATACATGTAATATACATTCCTCTATCAAACTAGTATGTAGTAACTTTCAGTGCATGTTTCAAATAGCTATCAACAACATATATATATATATATATATATATATATGCAGCTTCAACTTAAAATGTTGCAATTTTTACATCTTCTTGACATTGATATATAATAATATATCACATCAATTTAGTTTCTCTCTTTTTTACTTAAGAGATTAGCAACTAAATCTTACCTGCACGAAATTGATACTTACACTTAATTTCTACCAAAAAAGGAAATATTTCCATGTCATATAACACATGGGGAAAAAATAAAAGCAACACACTGAGAAAATTAAGAAAAATCAGTACAACTTTACTCCCATTTGTAAAAAAAGGTTAAAAAAACAAATGTAATATACATAATCCAAAGTCCATATATAGTTGAATAATATCAAAGTTTATTACATATATTATGCTACAAGTGTTCAAAATCTATGTCCCTAAAAAGAAATTAGGATGATTAAGTAAAACCTAAGAGTACTTTTTTCACCTTAGAGGTTAAAAAAACAGCCTAGGCTAAGCTATCACTTGAATTAACAACAACTATTTGGCATGATAAAGAAACTATAACTAGGATTTAGGAAGCATAACAAATACTTATATTATAATTAGACATTGAAAAGAATTGTTAAACATTACACAAAAAATTAGCCAAAGAAGAAAAACAATCAAGAAGAAATCCCCACACCAAGAAAATCTATAAAGGGAATATCTTTCTTTTCCCTTGCTTCTTCTCCATATTTTTGTTGTTGTTGTTGTTGTCGTCGTTGTCGTCGTTGTTGTTCAATGTTTTCCCTTAGAATTTTCCCAAAGGAAAATGTACTATGGCTAATATTCACAACTCTTTCAGTTAGACCGTCATATTCATTTCTATCAGCATAACTGAAAGGATTCTGAAAAGTCGTACTCCTTTTGTAATTATTATCTCCTCCTCTTCCGTGACTTGAAAAGCTTAAATTATTTTGACATAAAGATTTTTGATCTATTGAGGTTTCTCTAAACAAATGACTCCCAATTCTTCCACAAAATTCAGGTGAACTAGAAGAATATGTAGTAGACATTGAGAAAACCCTATCTTTATTAGGGTTTTGAAATTCAAAGTTAATTTTGGAGCCATAATTACCTTCTTGTATTCTCGTATTATTATTATTGTTGTTATTCCTTCGTCGAAAACCATAACATGATGATTTAGAATCACTTAGAAAATTATCATGTTGTTGTTGTTGATATAAACTTCTTTTACCACAAATCTTTGATTGTTCCCTTTGTTTTCTTGCCATTAAAACATGCCAATGATTTTTCACAGCATTATCAGTTCTACCTGGAAATAATCTTGAAATTAATGCCCATTTATTTCCATGTATTCTATGAGCACCAACAAGTCTCTCTTCTTCATCTTCACTAAATGGTCTTCTATTAATTCTTGGATCAAGTTGGTTAAACCATCTTAATCTACAACTCTTCCCTATATACAAAATTTTAAAAAATAATTAATAATTGACTTTCAATTAAAAAAAACCAATTAATGTGTGACTTAAATTCTAGAGCAAGATTTTGCATTTAATTTTCTTTTTTAAAACAGTTGAGAAGATATTATCAATGGAAACTGTTAGACTTCATATATGTATGAATTATGATGATAAAAAAAATAATTCCATTTTAGCCAAGTTTATAATAAGGAAAAGTAAGTAATAAATGTTATCCATTTATATTTTAAAAAAATGAGCAAAATAATAATAAATGAAATTCTTTTAACATTTAATAGACTTGAGAAGTATTTAATTTAATGTTAAACAACTTTTGACAATAAATAAAATACTTAACCCTAATTTTAAAACAGTATAGCATCAAATATCAATCCATAATAATCAAAACATCTCTTTTTCCGATTCATTTTTTTTCCTTACAACATGATACTCAAACTTAGATTTATTAAATTTAAATCGAGCGAAGAAAAAGTAAGCCTATTTATTTCAGATGATCAAGTCAACACATTTTTTTTTTTGCTTCAATAATTTTATAATTATAATCCAAAAATTCAACAAGTATATAGTTATATAATTACCTGATCTTCCTTGAAGTTTTTCAGCTATAGAGTTCCAATTTTGAGGACCATATTGTTCTACAAGCTGCCGGAGTCTTTCATCTTCGGCCGGTCGCCAGTGGCCACGTGGACAGCTACTTCTAATTGTATCGTCACCGGAACCACCACCTTCCGCCATGTATGTTGCCGGAAAAAGTTGTAACTAGTAATATTAGTAATCTTGATGAGATGAAAGAAAAATAATGGAATAAAGTTGTTATATTTATAATATATAGTTTTATATCAAATTAAGAAGAGTAAAAGAAAGTGGGTTGGTTTAGAGATATATAGATGACTGATGGGCAGTCACTTTTGTTGGTTTTACACGACAAATTGGGCAGTGAGAGGAGGAAAAACAAACGTTTGTGTACGTGTCGTGAAGTCATAATTTTGATTAAGGGTTTAAAATATGAAGAAGTATATGTACGAATTAGTTGAACAGGGTTCAATATCTATTATATTAATATCATTAATAATTTTAATAATATATAAATAATATAATTTTTCAGCAAAGGAGTGAACCCCTAGTGACAAACTGACTTCGCCTTGTTTGAAAAAAATAAAAATATAATTTTATTGGACTTTCATTATCTTATTTCCAAATTTCTTACACGTTTTATAAATTGATAGTTTCACATTTTTATCTTTACAAGGTGACTCTGAATATATTGTCTAGCACTATATAGAGGCGGAGTCAGGAATTAAAAATATCGGAGGCACCACTATTTTAATAACATAGACATAATAATTAGTTACTGTAAAGTTTAGGGTGAAACGAGTCTCCCAAAACTAAAAGAAAAGAATAACTTAAAATATTGGGTTGTAGCTACTAAAATGTAAAAAATAAAAAAAATAAAAAATGGAAAAATGTTAAAAAAGAAATAGAATTCAACTAATAGAACCACTTTAACTTTGTTGCTAGGAATGCCAATACAAAAGTATATGTATATTATTTAAAATATATATATATATATATATATATATATATATATTATTTTTTATTTTTTATTTTTTATTTTATTTTTTATTTTTTGAATTTATCGAGTTCATGACCCTGTCCTAAGGTTTGATGATCGACTCATTCTTATTAGTATATGTTTATAATTAGTATTATTTCAAAAATCATGAAAAAGTAGGAAATAATTAAATCAAAATTGTACAGAGTGAGATTGAGGGTCAAAAATACATATGCTATAATTCATTAATGAGATATCAATATTCAGTTTTTAAATGTTGGATATAAGAACTTTTGGGAATGTAATTAATTAATTAGTTATTTTTGTTGTGGAATATTAAATTCTCTTCAAGTACAAAAGAAGCAATTTAGTTAAAGAATTTATGTTGACGGTGTAAAAGATATTACACAATCAAATTTCTTATTAAGTAATACACGTAAATATCTTAACAAGCATTTGCTTGATAATTAATCTTGTATAATTAATCTAAAATAACCAACTTACAATCACATATTAAGATTTATCGACAGTATTAAATATAATTTAAACTATCTGTCCGTGTATATAATATAGTTAAATTGGTCTTACTCTTTGTTTGCTAATATGAAGGCAGGCAGAACTAAAACGGGAGTTCGGTCGAATTTAATAAATTTTATTTAAATATTGTATTTTATATTAATAAATTTATTTCATATATATATTAAATTTAAAACTCAGTTATTATTACTTAAAATCGCTATTATAAAATTAAAATTCTAATTTTACCTCCAAATTATATTTAGCATGCATTAAATAACTTGCTATTTCATAGGTTTGTACACAAACAGAAAGAGAAAAATATTTATTAAAAAATGAAGAAAAAAGGGAAAGTTGGAGAGTCAGATATGGAGGTTGTTGAGGGGGTGTAATTTTACATTAATTTCATTAATTTGCTTTAAGGATTATTTAATTAGTCTATTCACATAGAGGATGGAAATTAATCACTACCTTTAAGAATTTTAAATATTACTATGTTAATAAAGATTTTTTCAGTTAGGTATAATTAGGCTTTTGCTTCCACCTATAAGTTTTCCAATGTTTTAATTTGTTCATGTTATTATTAATAACTTATTAATTACATCCATGTGATATAACAGACTGACCTTAGCGTCTATTAAATTAATTAATACATAATTGTATATTTTATTTTTACTTCTAAATACAAGAAAGAAAGGCTAAACGCATACGTACATCTAAAATTGATACAATTTTTCACTTAGACACATTAATCGATTGAACACATGTAGTAGGCCTAAGTGTGTCATTTAAACATTTTTTCATTGTCTTGACAACTTGCGTGATTTACCCATTAAAAAAGTGTGAGAAGGCCAAAATATCAACAACAACCAAAAATAGTTGTTTTTTTTTTCCATTAATGCATAAAAGTTTCAGAAATTTTTTTCCTCAAAAAAAAATCGTATTTTGTTTTTTCATAAGCTGCGATTTAAAAAAAAATTGTTTTCTTTTTATTAGAATGTTATTTTTCTTTTGTTTATTAAATTAATTTTAAATAATCAACTCTCTCTTTTTTCAGATTTTTTTGTTTCATTTTTCTTTTCTCAAAAAGCTGAGAATTATTTTTCTAAATTGGATGTATATTTTTTTTTAAAAAAAAATTGTTTGAGAAGAAAATTTTATTTTGTGTATTAAATAGATTTTGACATAATTTTTTCTTCAGATTTTCCACAAGGTGGGAAGTTTTTTTCTAGATTGGGTGTAAATTAAGTTTTTTTTTGGAGGATATAATTTTTATTTTGTTTTATCAAACAGATTTTAAAAGAACTATGATTTTCCTTTCTTTTTTTTTTACTAAAAATATATGTAATTAGTTAATATATTGTTTTGTTACCTCAACGAGTGTATTATCTTCTCCTTATTTTTTTGTTGATTGTCAAAAAAGTATCTAATAGAACATATTTTGAATATGTCGAGTGTTTAACAGGTGCACAACTTAGTTGAAATATTTATCTAAGTAAAAAAATCATGTCAACTTTAAACGCCTCTGTATATGTTCAATCAGAAAGCAAACAAAGAAGAAACCATATAAAGAGATACATTGCAACAAAAGAGATACTTTGTAGCAATAGATTTTCCTTTAATTAGCACTAAAATATTTAGTGGCAATTGAAGCGAAATTTTATTGTAATAGATTTTCCTTCAATATTTATTAATATAGTCACAAAATAATTTATATATATGGTAGTGATAGAGGCAAGAAAAACCTAGCAATGTGGTCATTTTATTATTACTCCACATAAGTAGGTCAGTATTTTAATAAATTCCACAAAAATATAATATGATATTATTGTTTTTGGTCCATCTAATACTGAAATATGGGAGAACAATATGTAAAGTGTTGGTGGAATAGTTAATCATATACTATAAGATGAAATAGTTATATATAAGAAATAATATTATATTCTTTTTATAACCATTCAAAAGTAAAAAATAGTATAAGATCTATCCATGAAATTTCGTTTACGCAATATCGTTAACGTATAACAATGGTAGTTACAATGTCAATTGCATGTCTAAGCTATCAAAATAATTTCGAAAAGAAAACCAATTTATGTTATTGTCACCCCAGTGTTTACGTAAGGATTTAAGTAATAAAATACTATTAAAAGATAAAAACTAGCGACGAATAAATTTTTAGTTAAAAATTCATCACTAATTCAAGAAAATCCAGTTATAAACTACGAATAATTTAGTGATATATTAGCAACAGAGTTTATAGCTAATTCGATTTATTTTATCTTTTGTAGTGAAAGTTCATTGCTTATGCTGACCTCAATATTACGTTGTCTTCCTATATTATACTAATTTATATGTCTAAAAATATTATATTATAATAAAATAATGTAGTATACACAAGATTTCGACACGTAAGTTACCTTGTATTTCAAATCTATGCATAAAACTATATGTTTTTATCACATATCAAAGTTCACAATTCATTTCTTTAAATAAAAAATAGTATGAATTAATTACTTCGTTAGAAAAATAGTTAAACATTATAAGGTTTAAGAAAGACTAGCAATTTAGCAAAGACATAATTTAATTTGGTGATATGAAAATAAAATAAAATTGTAGTTGTACAACATGTCATCCCTTTTTTCCTATCAGGTATTTGGAGTCCGCATTGAAGCCCCAATTAAATATGGATGCACACCGCACCACATGGCTTATTCGACCCAACATGATTTTCTCCATACATATAGTTGAAATTCGAGACATCTAATTAAGGATAAAACTGTTTCACCATTGCACTAAACATGTTGGTACATGTCATTCCATTCATGCAGATGGAAAGTCAATCACATAGTTGAAAGCTTTTTAATTAATCAATTATTTAACAAATTGATTTCTTAACTGACTCATTAATCTATACCCTACGAAACTAAACACTTCTCTATCTCATCTATAAATATAAAATTTGGAGTTAATTAAATTAATTAATTAGCGTATCCATTAACATCAAAAGTTTATCAATCAAACAAGACATCTCCAACGGTGGGTGTTAAATCAATATCTAAATAGTCATGTTTAACTATTTTGGATTTATAGATAACTAAGTTAAATTCTGTTTGGTTAGCTTTGATTGTTAGAATTTTATATTGATATATATATAGGAGGTCTTTCCACTTCTTTTTCCCTAATATATTGTCTTAGCAAGGTGCAGCAAAATCAACCCAACCCGTCCAAACCTGCCCAATTCGTTTAAGTTTGGATAGGTTATTGACTGGTCCATTCATGAGTTCAATCCATTAAAAGTTAGGTTGATATATAATTCGAATAGGCTCATGAGAAATCTCGTCAAAATATGTTTTTAAAACTATTTTTTAATTTGATATGTTATATATAGCCATAATATAATAAAGAAAAATAATAATTTTATCATGTACTAAAATATTTTAAAAGACCAAGTAAAAATTGGGTAGGGTTAGATCTTGACCCGTTATGTAACTCATTACTTAATCCATTTTGACCCAACTCGTTTCGACCCAAGAAAATTTGAGATGGGTTGAGTTTTGACCCGATTGTTAATGACCCGTCCAAATTTGTCTTAACCCTCCCAATGACCACCCTTAGTCTAAGCCCAAATATGTAGGGTACATAGGGGTCTGTTTGGTAGAAAGTAAAATATTTTCTAGAAAATGCTTTCTTAAAAACAAGTGAGTTTCTTACTTATTTTCTAGTGCTTGAGTAAGTAAGTATAACAATGTAAT